GGGATTTCAACAAGAATGAAAAAAAAATCCTGAGAAAACATGAGAAATGAATTATTTATTTAATACTCATGCTCTTGTTAAATCACCGAGGATTGCCGGGTTTGTGACTCGCTCGGGTTTCTTGATACAAACATATTGATATAGTGTACTCTTTCGAACGCAAGTGCCCAGTACCGATACTTGAATGTAACGATGGAGTACGTATCGATACACAAAATATGGATATTTTTCAAACTTGCACTAACACATTTGCTCCAATGTTTTGGTTTTTATAACAAATTGGTTTTCATAACAAATATCGCGAGGGTCAAACATCACGAGGATCGCGAGGGTAACAAGAGAATGGTCAAATTTCACGATGATCAAACATCCAGTTCACAAGGGTAACAAAGGTGTAATCAAATTTCACGAGGGTTAAGAGGGTAACAAGGGGATGGTCAAACTTCACTACAGCCACGAAGGTCCCAAGGGGATCGTCAAACGTCGCAAGGGTTGAACTCCACGAGGATCACAAGGGGGTCATCAAATTTCACGGGGGTCAAACATCACGAGAGTCACGAAGGTAACAAGCGAATGGTCAAACATCACAAGGGTCAAGCAGTTCACAAGAGTCTCACCTTCAACCCTCGTGAAATTTAAGCATTGCTTGGGCTCCCTAAGAATTCTCTCTTTTTTTTTATAAAACCATAAAATTTCATCGAATTTTCTAGAAAACCCGAGGATTTCCCTCATGACAGTCAACCCTCGTGTTATTTGACCCTCGCGAAATTTGACCCCCGCGAAATTTGACCATTTCCTTGTGATCCTCATAAAATTTGATCAAAATGTTCGTCTTGATGTCCTTTATCTTAATCAATCAAAATATACGAGGTATTCCACGTCAAATGAGTCAGTCGCTGACCCTCACCCTTTTGGAAATTAATGGCGATTTTTTCTACGATCGGGGACGTTGAAAAACTATCTCTAAATTTTTTTCAGATTTTTTCGGCAGCCCAGTTCGGAGATTTAATTTTGTTCACATTTTTCCGTGTTTTCCAATAACTCGAGTTCTATTTGTCCGATTTTGATTTATTAAGCATCAAAATTTTCGATTTTTTACGGCCTATACGACTATTTTTAGTATTTTTTTTTTTTCGATTCCTAGATGCTCATAATGACGATCTTTCGAAAAAAAAGTTGAAAAGCTTGAATTTTGCAAATTACGTCACGGTTGATAATCAATAATTTTTTTCAGTAACTCTCATAATCACCGACGTCCATTGGTCGCGATGGCTAAATCGTTAGTTCGGCTTGGCCACTAGGAGGTCGTGGGTTCGAGTCCCAGTCCGGTCGGGTTTTTTAGCTTCTGGAAACAGGGGTTGGGAGCTCGAAAGGGTGGCTGGGCTTCGGATCCCGACAGGGGGGGACTCTTAACTTCCGGTAAAGCGAGTTAAGGGGCTCGCCTGGGGCGGATTCTGGTGGGGTCCGCGTCTCACCGCGGCTCTGGACGAGCGAGGGGCGGGGTTCCTAATAGAGGAATCGACTGTACCGACGGAGGTTTTCTGTGGTTTCCTTCGTCTCTCTCGCGGGAGCAAATGCGGTATAGTGCAGCAAGTAGGCCACAGCCGCAAAGTTAGGTAGACGATAGATGGCGGAGTAAACCAAATGGGTTTAAAATGCCTTTAATAAAAAAATAATTATCATAATCAAAACAAGTATTTTGAGCTGTTATTCTAGTTGGACATCCTCCTGGATCTATGTTATTTTTAATTTTTTCTTTTGGAAATTTCGCAAATTGGTCGAAACACCACAAAACGACTTCGACTATGTATCGAAAAAATATGTGATATATTGGTATCCAATCAATTGCACTGCATACTGTCCATAATCAAAGTCAATTAACGCAATTTTGAGGTGTTGCAACCAAATTTACGGAATTTCGAAACGAAAAAATTGAAAATAAAATAGATCCAGGACGATGCCCAACTTGTATGATGGCTCAAAATACTTGTTTTGATTATAAGAATTACTGAAAAAAAAATGAAACAAATCATCCGTGACGTAATTTGCAAATCAAGTTTTTCAATTTTTTTATTTGAAAAGTCGTTATCATGCGCATCTAGAGATCGAAAAAAAAATTCACTAAAAATATTCTTATAGGCAGTAAAAAATGAAAAATTTGGACGCTTAATAAATAAAAATCGAATGGATAGAGCTCGAGTTATTGAAAAAAACCGGAAAAACGAAACAAAAATCATTTCTCCGAACTGGGCTGCCAAAAAAATCTGAAAAAATTTGAGATATAGTTTTTCAACCTCCCCAATCGTAGAAAAAATCGCCATCAATTTCCAAGAGGGTGAGGGTCAGCGGTTGACTCATTTGCCGTGGAATACCTCATATATACCCGTTCATATAAAGTTTTGGAGATATATCGATTTTTTTTTACCTCAAAATCGTTGTTCGCTCTCTAGCAGACGCAAAAATCGAAATATCAAATTGAAATCAAATCTTATTGCGCTAAAAACCATTGGGAAGCCCACCATCAATTTTTTTATGGCAAAGTATAAAACAAAATTAATGAGTGAGATTTTCACTGCCACATGCTCGCTACTTGTTTTTATTTTTAGTGCATTACATTACAAAGCTGCAAAAGCTGTAATACAAATACACTGCTGTATGCTGTATATAACTCAATATATTTTTCTGGTATATTACAGCACGCCCAATAAATAGTGGCTGAGAGAATTTTCCAGTTTGGAACTCACTCTCTAAAAAACATTTATGGAATTTTTATTGACGAATGCACTTTTCAATTTAGAATAGACTGTTTAATTCTGCATGTAGTATGTAGTATCGAGCTTTTCAGCTGCCGGTTTCAACATTAATCATTAACAAAAATGTAATATCTCTGACATGAATAAGTTGACAGAAAATTATCAGAGCTATATTTTTGCAGTGAAAAAAATCGCAAAAAGCTCTTCTCGCCAGTTACCTATATTTAGAGGATAATCTACATTTTACCACGTCAGAAAAAAAAATTAATAGAAAAAACTAGCATTAGAAAATTTAGGTTTTTCTATGAAATTTTTTTTCCGATTCTATTCGAAAATTTTGGAACTTCCCTGCACGTTTCTTCGGACGAAAATAGGGAATTTTGATCTTTCGATACAACTTATTTTGTTGAGATCGTCTCTGTACAATTTGTTCATTTGAAATTTTCCAATTCTTTTCGCTTAAATATTTAAATGAAAGCAATAAATGACAGTGAAAAAATTAGAAAATGTTCAAATCCAACAAAAACAAGACTTCCAGTCGGGAGCAAAAAACAAAAAAATTTATGCCGAGGATTTTCTGTGGAAACATTTCAGTAAAATAAGGTGGATAAAAAAATCAGTTTATGTTTTCTGTAAATTCATTTTTATTTACCATTGGTACTTGAAAAAATAAGTAGAAATGCTGTGTAATTTTCCAATAGAAACTGTAGAAAACTAATACAACTTCCTAGTGAATGCATCAATAATACTTAGCAGTCTTCTGTACCATTTTTTTTCACGTGATCCCTTCACTCATTTCTTCCAGCTCTGCATTCTCACGGTAAAACTCCTTGAATGAAAAGTGACCTGTGAAGTAATCTGAATCAATTAGAAGCATTCAAAATATGAGGAGGGATGAAATATATTCGGAGATATATTTTGTAGAACGACCTGGCCGCATTTAGTCTGCGTATCAAGTGCACCACTCGATCCACTCAGCTTGGAATGCCATCAACATGTAACATACACGAGCATCTACTTTGGTACCATGCAGTCTATATGTCATTGGCATTAGTACACATGTGGCCAAAACAGCTTGAAACAAATTTTCTCGGAGTGGTCCACCAGTGAGTGTTTTAGCAAAGGTGGCCCTAACCCAGATTATAATTGTAGGAATGGAGGGTAAGCAAAGGAGATAAATAGATAAGTGGATTATTAGTTGAATGGATCAACAGGTCAATCATCGAAACCTGATGGATCGAATGGAAAATAATACAGGAGTCGAATGAAATATGACACAGAAGAAAATGGCGTAGATCTTGGCAATGAATAATTTAATAAGCGATCGCTTCAAGTTCGAAAAGTAACCTTCGTCAGGCTGCAGACACCTTGGCGTCAAAACTTGTTGGAGGATTATGTCATTTCTTGAATGGACGTGTCTAAAATTATGCGCATCATACGATTATCAATTTTTACCATTTTCTCATTCGTCAGAATAATGCACCTGCTTCAAATGTTTTATAGATGATCTTCAGAGCCCTGTAGGTAATAGAGTCCTGTGCACATTGTTCTTCTGAAATGCCTATTAACACTATATATACTAAGGTAAATTGCTCTTCACATTTTTTATTCTTTTTGATTGAATAATTTTTCTAAATCAACTAAAACACCACTTGGAATTAAATTTATCGAAGTGGAAGAAATTCATGAATAAAATCTGTGAAGAAAAAAAAACAAAAATGAACAGAGAAATGAACGATTTTCTTTTCACCCAGAACGAAAAAAATTTCTCAATGATTCTCAATGTGAAATGGCATCCCGACGCAGTGTCTTAGCCTCGTATATATATGATACAATATCCAAGTATACTTGATTTCTATTTATAATCTCTCAACACACGTGTGAAAAATGTACTGCGCAAAGTTTTTGCAGCCAATATGAATACAACGTGTGTATGCGTATTAACGGTATCATATATACAACCCGTGGCATTAATCTATTTATCTGACTAACAGAAAACTTATCTTGTGACTCATTGAACTGATTCCGGTTCGACATTTTCTTGTTGATGTTCCAGAGAGTATACCTATCGTTCAATTTTCATTGTTTCACATCTACTTTTATCATCAATACTTGATAATTTTCGGAATTAGCAACTCATTATTGTGTTCATATTCCCCTCAAATTCAACTTTTCATATTATTGAAAATCTTGTAGCCCCGAAAAATAACAAAAGGATAAAAAAGAAGATTCAAAACATTTTTCTAGTGAATTTTCATATCAAAATATATTTGTGCTTTAACATGAAGACACCCATGAAAGGTAATCTTATACTCGGTATAAACGTTCACGTTGAACGCTGTTAACAATTCAATGTACATTCATACCCGTACAATCTCGTGCTTGCCAGTTACACTGTGCGCAGAGGCAAAGAAAAAAACTAAAAAATAAATCATAATCGTGACGAATCCAATTGTCATGATACATCTGAAAACGCGTGTACACTGTTTTAGTAATTAATTTGCCATCGGTCGTCAATGATCAGAATGAAACCGTTTTGATTTTTTGAAAATTTTAGGTGTCTATAAGTGGCTTGCTTACTAGAAACTATAGAAAAAATATATGAAGGAGAGGGAACTTGCTGCGTCTATACAACAGAATGATCAACAAACGAACAATAAAATAGATGAAGCCCGCTTCAAACATTTTATCCATCTTTTTTACTAGTTTTCTCGAACGGTAACTTAAAATACAGAAGAGTGACCTGTAGTGACTGTCAGCATTGGAATATAATGAACGATTTTGAAAATGATTCCATAACAATTTCTGTGATTTTGTCATTTCCTTGAATGAACAAATTAATTAATACATATATATTCTCTCTCTCTCTCTCTCGCTCTTTGCATGTTATCTAAACAAAATATATTAATTTTTACTTACAATGACGATAATTTTCCTTAATCATTAATGTAAATTCAAGTTAACTGTAATACGAGAGTGTGTATGTGTTTTGGGTAATTTGTTTCCTTTTCGGTTTTCCCTATCGCACACATCCCTTTCATTAACGCAAGTTACCGTAATTCATTGAACTCTTCTCACAATTGTTCTGCTTAGTCATTTTTTTTCCTTTCTTGTTCATTCGCCGAGAAAAATAACATGTCGATATCGATGGATTAAATCAATACAGTGCGTGGTAATTATGGTATCTCGGTATGCCACGAGTTACTTAGGTACAAGAGCGATACGCTAATTAATTAATTTACACGATTATAATCTATTACACACCGTATCTAATCACAACGTCATGCGAAACAATGTATAAATCTATGGAGAGACTTTATGCGCCACCTACCAAAGAATATATACCTATTTCAAGATGCTTTTCACAATGTTTTTATTAAAAATCTCCGTTTTTTCTCTGTATTACTTACACTTTCTGTCATATTTTTCATTGCACGGGTTCAAAAAACCGTATTTCCAGTCTTAAGCTATGATCATTTTTTTTCACAAAAATACCAGAGATAATCAAAATTACACAGGGAAAAAAAACTCATCTCATATCCATCATTTCGAAAATGAATCTTAACAGAGTCTTGAGCAGGAGATCAAAACATAGCTGTCACAGGGAAAAACAATCCCCCCAAATTAAATTCTAAAATTTACAGAAATAGTGGATTTCATCATTAGGTCCACAAAGTATTTCCTGATGAATGTGAATATAATCCTCGCACTGGACTTGGATTAAAAGCTCACATTCGTTAGAAAATACTTTGTAAATCGTATGATGTTAACCATTTTATATTACGGGCCCGAAAACGGCGATCTAGCTGAGTGAAGCGAGGTTAGAATCGTAGTGTATCGAGCCTCGTAACACAAAGAATATGAAGTGATTTATATTTTACCTTCCCGCTGACCTCGGAGGAAGCCACTTTCTCCTTCTCTCACTTTACCCATTCGGAGAATCTACCTCGAATAATTCGTTCAATCATCAAATTCCGATCTTTGAAAAATCGATCTGGCTCGAAAGATGCACACATTACCAGCATCTTTAACCGCCAAATATGTATCTGTTAATAATTTCATGAAGGTCGACACAACTATAGTCCTCTATAAACAACAAAACGAAGAGAGAAGAATCTTCTTCCACGATCTGAAAAAGCACGATGTTACGGATGCTACATCGGTCCAACCGCATGCTGCTGAAACTGATCCAAATGCCTTGATATTTCACGGTGCAGCTGTTCGGGGACAACACCAACGCTGCTGAACAGTGACCTGAGCACATTGAGCTCCTCCGTAAGCAGTTCAATCCTTTTCTTAAGCAGATCATTATCCTTGACAAGTAATTTCACTTTTTCTTCAGTTTCACGCGATCGTACCTTTGCTTTTTCCCGACTTTTCCTAACTGCAATATTATTTCTTTCACGTCGCCTTCTGTACTCATCGCTAGCCTTATCCACTGATTTGGATTGTTTCCTAGCAACAGCGGCAGCAGCAGCGGCAGCAGCTGCCTGGTGTTGATGTGACATTACAGGTTTCATAGGTCCCCTCTGCGGTTGCTGATGATTTTGAGGTTGTTGGGGATGCTGATGATGCACAGAGTGACCGCCTGGTGCAGTAGATGGTGTGAGGTTTGTAAAGGTAGGTCCCCCATTGGCGAAAGGTCCATTAGCAGGACTGTAACCTCCGGTTGGATATTGCGGACAGTGACGTCTGTAATCAGCTGGATCGACTGGTTCTTCTTTGATACTAGGTGATTCAGAAGTTGAACTGTTGCTGTCACTACAACTGTTACTACCCTGATGATAACTCGCACCACTGTGTACAGGTTGAGGCATATATGCCAGAGTCGTCCTTGGGTATCCCGTCGTCCTTCCCTGTTTAACTCCACCATTACCACCACCGAGCATATCTAGGAGACCATCATTGAAGTGAGAATCATCGATGAGATGTTGCAGATCTAACGATATTTCCGGTGTGTTGAGATCCGTTAGTTCCCCCGCTGCTGCACAATGTTCAGCATACTGCTGGTGCAACGTAGCTTTACTCGCTGACACTTTGCTTACTGCGACACTGGTCTGTTGATTGTGATTGACTTGGAGTGCTGAGTTATTGTTATTATTACTATTATTGTTATTTGTGAGAACTATAGGTTTCTTGAGCTCCGGCGCACCCGGACCCTGGGTCTGGTGTGCAGCCTCGTACATTACTGGCGATTCCATATTATCACTCACTCACGCATCACAGTTTACTATTAAAAATGATTCAATTATTTCCTCAAAGTTATTAAGGCAAACTTCACAAGGTTTCTCAGTCGAGCCGTTATCACTTGAATTATTATAGTCCTTTCAAATGTTTGGAGTTTGGTTTTCAGTTGTTTAAATACTCATTTTTCATCACAACACTATTGAAATAATTATCAACAAATTCAACGTGAACTGAAATTATTATTCAGTTTCTAAACTATTTCAATATTGACATATTTAACGATGCAGTTAGTCACTAACACATCCCAAAAAACTTGGATACTAACCGAGCTCTGTCAAAGAGGGTTTAAAATAAAAGAAAACAATAGTGGAAACTAAAATTAACCAAACCTTCCGAACCAGTGTTGGCGCGCGACTGAGTAGCACAGCCGCATGCCGTAAGTTTTCAATGTGGTGGGCGCCAACTTCGAGTTCGTTCAAGTGTAGAGCGCATGCGCAAACATTTACTCGTTCACTTCGTCCCTTCTCTTCTTCATTTCTCGCTTCTCCTTAAATGATAGAGATGGATAAATTCTTTTTTTTTTCAAGTAAAATAGTTTCCCTCAGAATTATTTTTTTCACGTACTGTTTCTGAAGTTTATTAATTATAGATGGTGATTCTTTAGGGGCTGGATGGTGACAATGAATGATGAAATGGGAAAATTATTTTCGTATTGACGGGTAATAACAATCGAGTTGATAGATTTCTATTTAAGTGGAAATGAGAAGGAATATAACAAACAAGCAGGTGATAGCGAGTATGTGATAGTGAGTATGTGAATGGAGGTTTTCTACTTAGGAGTATGCTTATCCTTTTTTGCCATCAATAAATTGATGACAGGCTTCCCAATCGTTCCGTTTTGGTTATTTAATTGATTCATATAGAGGGCATTCTCTGTCAAATCAGACAGTCATGTTTCATGATCTCTCCGAATGTCTTCCCAATTTTTCAAGGTGTTCTGTGACTCAAAACAAGTATTCCAGATTTTTTTCCGAATTTTTGTACCACCCATTCTCGTTTAGCAGTTACATTTTTTTGCCTGATGAAAATACCTTATTGCTCCGGTTCAATGCGTTCAAAAATGATGATTAAAAAAAGTGCATTTTTTTCGAGCTTTAAGATTGAAAAATGATCAAAGGTCGCAAACCATCAAGAGATCGATTTTAGCTCAAAAAAAGAAGAAAATAATTTTTTTTCTTTACTTGGACACTTCTAATCGTTGTGATATTTTTGACAGCATTTTTCAAGCTCCAAGAAGATTACAAAAAACATTTCAAAGTGGAAATTTCAATTTATACACGTTCAAAGTTTTTTTCGCCATCAAGACACTGATGGCGGGCTTCCGAATGGTCTGAAATATTACAAAAGTTTATAGCTTCACAACACTAACTACCAGCAAAAATTTTCGAAGGTTATTGCTGCCACCTCCATGAGTGCTATCAAAATTTCAATGGTTCGAATACTGCGTATGAGGATATACATATTTTGTGTCCAAATTTCACGTTAATATATCGGTTGTTGTACAAGCTAGAGTGTTTACAAAGTTGTTTTATGAAAAAACGGGAATATCTTGAAAACTTTGTATGAACTGGTATATGTGTTTTTTTATTGATTTAGACAGAAGGTATCGAAACGAATATGTGGGGAAAAAATGAAATCGGTTGCATAGATTTGAAGATATTCCATGTAAGATTTTCAGAACAAGTCGAATATTTCCGAACCTACTGATGCGATTGAACCCATTTTCAAAACCAAACAATGTGATCCTGAGAGGAAGATTCTGTCGAAATTTCAAGTTGATATCTCGATTTTTGCACAACGTTGAGTGTTTACAAAGTTTTTTTTTTATGAAAAAACAGAAAAGGGGGAATATCTCGAAAACGTTGTATGAACGGATATATATGTTTTGATTGATTTAGATAGAAGGTGTCGAAGATGTCCAGCGGAGAAAATTTGTGTCCAATAATTCTCATAGGAAAAATCCAAGAGAAAAATTCAAACAAAAATTTGAAATCTATTGACTTTTTCGTATTGAATATCCAATCGAATCAGCGCAAAAAACAAATAGAATTTTCCAATAGAATTCCAATAGAAATCCTATAGAAATGCCATCGAATGCCTATAGGATTCCACTACAATTTTCTAGCGAATTCGCTTGGTTTTCTATTGAATTTTTTCATGCGTTTTGCAAAGTAATTATTATGGATGTCTGCATAGCATCAACTCTATCAGCTACTACTCCATGCATTATGATTATTATTATTATTATATTTTATTTTTCAACTCGTAAATGAGATTGTTGAGCGATTATCCTCGAGGGTTCCGACTTCACCTCGAAGACCGTCCAGCAAGCAAAGCGATACAAACTTTCCCTAATCGCTCTGCAATAGTACACCCTCTAACCAGAGGGTGAGCTCTACTGTAGTCCAGAATCATGCTGCCTAAGTAGACGAAGGGACCCAAGGATGACAGCCTCTGCTTTTGACCAGCTAATATGAAGGCACGCCTATAAGCCGGGATGATTTCGAGTGCAGATATGAACGACTGTTTCATTCCCCTGAAAGAACTAATAATGAGGACAACCAATTTTACTCTGAAGCCCCGGTTCAGTTGACGTAGGTCAAACAGGAGTGGTTGATACTTGAGCTGTTTGTCCTCTTCCTTAGCTGTTATATTGCTCTCAGCTGGAGCCGAGAATTCAATGATAGATAATTTTGTCATCGAAATCAGAGAGGACAATGTCAGTTTTCGTTGCAGCGGTAAGCCTGACAATCGCGAATGAAAAGTTCCAGTAAATCTTACACCTTTCATTCACGACGACGGACTCAATATCTCCTGGAGCCTAAGGCAGCACCTGTGTTCTATCTATTTCATAGGAGTACCGCAAGTCATAATTGGGTACTCTCAAAGTCGCATTATGACGATGAATATTACTCGTAATTGCATACGTCGGACACACCGATAAAAGAAGCGTTAGAGTTTTTGGCAACTGTCTGCAAGCCCGACATCAAGTGTCTGCAACTTGCACCCCCATAACGCAACTCTGATAAACCAGGGTGTTTATAACGCCATTATTATTATTATTATCATTGTTGTTGTTGTTGTTGTTATTCCATTTTGTAGAAGTGGATTGCTTTTGGCCTTTAAGTGGTTGCCTCTGAGACCGGCTTGTGCCGGACGCCGACAGCATTCAGTCTTCATGTATTTGAAGGGTGTTACTAGTGGTATGAACCACCAAAAACGTAGGGGCAGATGGCCAAAAATAAGGGAGAAATTTTATCTGAAAGATTTGGGCATAACATATGTATAAGTTCCTAACACCTAGCATTCGAAATAGCGCTTTAGCCGAGTCGCAGCGCGTCTGCCCAACAACCTGGCGATCTGAGTTCAAAACTATTTTCTGATATATATATATATTTTTTTCTATTTTATTGCTCCATTTAACAGAAAATGTTCATTTTATGAGGATTTAGTCATTTAGAAGTTGATTTTGGAATGACACATCGGATGTTCAAGCGGTTATAAATTTGAGTTGTTTAAATAATACGAGAAAAGGGAAAGAGGAAGTATGTTCTGGACGAAAAGGAGTGAGAAAAACTGTCATCGAATATTCTCGACAGTGGGCACTGGAAATAGTCATACTGGAAAGGGCACTGAGATGCCTGACGCGAGCCGAGAGAGAGGGTCGATTTTTAAGGAAGCCTGTCTCTCTCGTACCGTCAGCCCCAAAAGTTTTTCCTTGCCCTCTACAGCGTCTCGACTTCAGAATTGACGTTCAATTACTGTTTTTCGCAAGAAATGTATTTTTATAAATCCAAATTTATGACATGGAATTCATGCAAAAACGTTTTTTCCCCAAAATTATTATTCATGGGAAAATTATTAATTCATGATTTACAAAAATTCCACACAGAGATCAATTAATAAAATATACAACTCAATAGATTTCCAATTCGATCAATCTGAAGATGGTTCGGAATTCTCTGAGTCAATATCTTCCTGAATATTTGGAATAGTAAAATTCGGTATCATCAATATAACTCCTGGAACACAAAGTCAACGATTGAATATTGTAGATTATCATTGGAAGAGAAATCAATTCTTAAATTTCAGAAAGCTGCCTCGGTGTCCCATTAAGTGAATCATAATCAGTCTCTATTGTCTTTCCAATACTGTAATAAAGAATGAAAAATGTTACAATTTTTTTTTCATTAGATATGAGTAGGAAAAATCAATGAAAATGTCCAGAGTGTTAGAGTAGAAAAATTTAATAAACCAAAGTCCAATTCGTGTCATATAAACGATGGAAAAAAATATAAATAAGAGAATTTAAACAACTAGTGACACTCTTTAAATATTATCAAGCTGAGTGAAAACTTTTACCTACAACCCTTGGCCTCTCCTTGTGAGTAAAAAAAAATAATTCATATGTTATATAAAAGAATTTCTCAAATTAATCACTAATATTAATCGTAGTCTTCAATAAAACAATTAAAAAAATCACTTACATATGGTATGTAAGGTTAGTATTGGGAAACCAAAAATTGGGGCAATTTTTTACGCAGCAACTGCTCAGCATTTTAATTTCAATAATTTTTCGTCACTAACAATACATAATACTCGTATACACTCCGTCTAATTTTGTAATGAACAACTTTTTGCGTGTCCAACAGTATTTTTCTTTATTCTCACAGCATCCCAATTATTTTTACAACTCTTGGAGTCACTGGACATAGCTCCAACAGACATTTTTAACTCGCTTGTACAATCGTCTTCTTCTTCTTCTTCTTCTTCTTCGATTTTTATGGCTCTGACATTTTAGTCTTGCGGCCGTTATCCCTCTACAGGGACGTTTCAGCAGTTGTACAATCGTCAAAATAAGTCCCGCCAGTCCGTGAAGTTAGCTACTGGTTGGAATATGGGACTGAAACGAAGGAGCGGTTCGTAGCTAACTTCGCGGACTGGCGGAACTTATTTTGACGATTGTACTGCGCGTGGTTTAGTACGTTCTGCGCATGCCCAGTGCCGGAGAGAGTGAGACAGGCTTCCTTGAAAATCTACTTCTCTCTGGCTCGTTTTCCGCTCACGGGCATAGCATGGCAGTTCCCTTTCCAGTATGACTCTATTTCAGTGATGTTCCCACGTTAAATTCTGTCGCTGGGCTCATTCTGGGGAGAAAATGGCGGAACCAATCAGCATAGACTTTAGTAGCAGCCATTTTTCAAATGAGTATATAGCGTTCTTATTCCGAACAAGAGAGGATTAATTAAAAATCAATTGTAATATTATTGCTAATTTTCTAATTCTCATACCAAATTTTTATGATTTGGAATGTATAATACGGAGAAAAATTCATGTATTTGAATAATAAAAATATGATTTCGAATGATTCTCGTCTACTAAGATTATTTCTTGAAATTTTCAGTGCCTGGATGTTTCCTTTAAAAAGCAAAAAAATGATTGATCTATTTTGCAATTCTTGTAAAATGGTATTTTAACTAATAATAAACCGTAGAATCGCAGTCTGGTAACAATGGTTGTCCATGTTTTTATTCAGCTCCAAAACGTATCTTTGTCATAATTACGCAGCAGGCCTATTATTCAGTCGTTTTTTCAGTCGTTTTCTTCAATTGTATTGTTAATTCGACTTTTATCAATAATATGCCGTGTTGCGCATAGTGCCAATAGTGCCAATGCTACTGAAATATTATCGAATAACATCAGAGAAAATCATTTATAAGTTTTCCGTCAGTTTGATGGACTACAGACAATTTGTTGATCTTACCCCACTTCCAGACTTAGATAATATCTTAATCGAAAAAATAATTCAATGAATCCCAATATATTCTTTTCTGAAATAGTTTTTTGAATATGATCACAAATTTTCGTTCTTTGACTCTAAAAAGTGCTGGTAAAGATACATTTTGAAATTTATCCGTTCCTCAGAATTTCTTTTAATATCTGAATAAAAAAAAAATTATTGTTCAAATATTAAGTATAAACTTCATTTGCAAATGCTAGCTCTATATTTAATGGTCCTCACGCACCTGCCTAGTCTTTTGTGACTCTATAATCTCTAATTTTGAGTGACTGGAGATCAAGTTGACCAACAAAATCGAACTCCTGAGGAAAAATCACACGGAAAATGATATTTTAAAATTCCGTTCCTCGAAAAACGGAAAAGTTCTTTTCCTGGAGTGAATCGCTCCTTAAGACTAGGATAATGGCCAATCAAAGGATTACTTCTTACAAACATCAGTCAATAGCTAAATTATTGGAAGAAAATGTGAAGAGAATGATCAAGTCGAATTTATTCGTTGGTTAAAGGCCTACTCGGATTAACTCAGCAGTTTATTTACAACTCAACATTAACAAGCGATCAATAAAAACATTCCTTTGTGAGGTCATAATTTTTCTTCATAACCATTCCAATTTGACAATTTATAACTTCAGGAATAGAAGCGTCATTTTGAAATAGATATTGATGATAATTCAATAATGATATTTCAATTCTATGGCCGTTATGCCGTGTATCCATTTCAAAACATATAGGGCGCGTTTCGAAATATCTTGGATGGGCTGCAGTTACTGTTACTGCGACTACCTCGATTGCGAAACGCTCCCATAAAGGCGGATTCACATATCGATTGAGCCCCCAGTGACAGTCTATACATATTGTCTCAAACTGGGTATCTAGTAACCTTGGGGATAATACGTCTAGGGTTTCAACAATCTGAATTGCCACACCCCCACTACGGCGCTAGTGAATCAGTCCTCTGACCAATTCACTCTACCATGAGATCATGAAGAATGGTCTCTTTTATTCATGACCGTGATATTCGACACAACAAAAAAATACGAGAGAGAGAAAGAAAAACAAATTTGTCGCAAACCCAGTAAAAGTTTTCATAACTATAGTATATATATGTACGATATATGAACTCACAATTACCTATATGTACATAACGTTACGTCGTCGATCTGAGCCGAAGGATTCCAAGAAGCCAAGCAAGCCTTGGTTGAATTGTCCTTAATCGGAGGTAAGTTAGCAATTTCTATTTTCTTTGCACGGGCAAAATCCCGTTGAGAATCAACGGTCTTCAACAGAATTAGACAACAGACGAACCCACGCGTACTGCTCCAATTAAATTACGATAAAACTCATTATTATTAATGGATTTTCCATTCATAATTAAAGTTCAATTATTCTCTGAATATTCCCATTGCCCGTGAGATTTTATTTTTATTTCATACTCGTTATTTCTAAACACATGTATACCAATATTGCGTACCCAATGTGTGTACCTGCCTTAACCTAAAAGGCCTTACACTGTTTCTAGGTTTTGTTCATCATCGAAGTGGTTTTTATGAATAATACAGAGAACCCAACTAAGAGACGAAACGTATAATTAAACATTAAAAATGGCGGGAGAACAACAACAATTTTTTCTCAAGTGGAATGATTTTCAATCGAACATGGTATCGTCGTTCAAACATCTGAGAGACGAAAAGAGTTTTACAGACGTAACACTTGCCTGTGATGGACAAACGTGCAAAGCTCACAAAATGGTGCTTTCTGCGTGTAGTCCCTACTTCAAATCTCTTCTTGAAGTGAGTGTATTTTTGCGTATGTAATGTTGTTCTTTCTACCCCTGAAGTTTTGTATCATTGATACATTTTTTTGTTTTTGATGACAGGAAAATCCGTCCAAACATCCAATAATTATCCTTAAAGACGTTGCATATAGTCACCTTCAAGCAATCCTGGAATTTATGTATGCTGGAGAAGTTAATGTTTCTCAAGATCAATTACCGGCATTTTTGAAGACAGCAGACAGGCTCAAAGTTAAAGGACTCGCTGAGGCACCTGGTGCCATTAAGAGAGAAGGCTAAACCCTACTCATTTAGCTATGGTAAATGAATAATCATGATTTCAACTCATTTGAGAATGTTCTAGCACAGTTTGAGAAATCAATATTTTTTCCGCCAGGATTTTTCATCCCAAATTAGGCATTAATAAGGGAGAGTGGGGCGAAAAGGAACGTTTGAGATCCATTTACATTCTCAATTTCTTCTTTCATCAACAGAGATATGGAAATTTTGGATCGACGACAAACGTTCCCCTTAACCTTATCTTCCCTTATGTATTATTTAATTTTTTTAAAGAGTATTTTTTACAACTTCTAATAGCGAAATATGAATATTTTTTTAATGTCAATATTAACCACTTACGTATAGGCCCTTTTGTGACCAATCGCTCAATATCTCTTAACTTTGGTTCTTTCTAATGAATAGAAAATGAAAAAAATTATAAATAACTGAAGTTGAAATTCAAAGCTAGGATTGAGATCTAGTCTCAGCGTGCGGATTTATATACTGATTTCCATTTTTTCTTAATGAAAATATATACGATGAATTGTCAATTATGAAAATAATGTTTCAGGTGTTATTGGAAGCGTGCAGACTGAAAGAGTGGAATGTATGTGTAAACAAGTAAGATAATTGGAATGAAAACGAAGGAGAAACTGAAGCACTACACTCACACATATATCATAAACATATAATACACAGCGTACGTGAAGAATTTCACTTTTTGGTTCATGACTTGGATCAACATCGCACCAGTTATGGATCGATCATTTTCAAACTATTTCTATCCCTCTTTTTCCTTCTCGCCCATATATTATTCCAAATGTAGAATTATTGTTGCAAGATTCACTGAAAGATTTATATAGATCAATGATTGTATGTTGATGTCAGTTTTGAACCTTAGGCGATGTACACTAACCATAAACGTTGATTATATTTTTTATTAGAAGAAAAAGTGCTGCAAATTAAAGTTCAAAGAAAATGAGAACTATATAATAAGCAGGTCATAATAGTTTTATATGCATGTTGGTCGGGGCATTTTGTCAAGTAATGATTATTAGCTGGAAATTGAATTATCTTTTTTTTTCCAAAAAGTACACAAATTTTATGACAATTGTTGAAACATTTAGTAATTGATCTATAATTCCCAGAATTGGGAATAGTAATTACAGTGTTTAATGGTGAAAGAGAATAAGTCGAAAACATTTGTTTATTTTGAAATTAACTTATGTGAAAAGTTAAATTTTGTAGAATGTTTTTTATCAGAAATAGTTACACTGAGAAAAAAAATTATTTTTGTCAAATATCAATTTACTTGAGAGAAGCATTTATTTTTTCAAAATTATGTTTCTCCAATCGAGTCATTCTCAGACGAGCTTGATTAGGTTTCAATTGTGACAATCATGTTTCTTTAGAGGATGACTATGTTGCACACGACCTTGGATGAACTCTAATGATTATTCATTTTTCCTAAATGTCTTATTTTCTACAGGGAAGAATTTCGATTAATTTCTTAATGGTTATAATCATTGAGGGAGTTCACTCAAGATCATAACTAACATGATCATCTTCTAGAGCAATATAATTGTCATAATTCAAACGTAATGAGAATTGCCTGGAAATTGATTCGGCTGGAGAAATACGGTATTGAAAAAATAAATACTTCTCTCAAGTCAATGGATATTTGGCAATTTTTTTTTTTGCTCAGTGAATGTGGACAATGGTGACGCGCTTTTGACTCTACTCTTCAAATTCATTAATTATTGAGGTCTTTGTTTCTAATGTGAGTCGTTGCCAATGTTTGCGACTGGCTGTTACCCATAAGCCTTTGACCTGGATATTATATATTATTTACATGGTATTTTCAATGGGCATTCAAATATACAGATGGTTTTACAGAGTTGATAGCGAGAGTGTGAAAGATGAATTAATGTTCACCACGTTCAATAAATAAAATACTTTCACACAAAAGTTATTAAGAGAAAAATGTCCACAAATGTTGAATATGGTCCCTTTCACCGTTTCGCTATAGAAGCATATTTTAAACTCATTAAATATCAAATTTGCAACTGCCCCGGTCACTTGTTTCAAGAGTACAGAATCAAGTTTGCTAGAAGAACGTAGAGGATTATTAAGTGAATACTGCTGCAGACTGATTCAATTCTCCTCCTGCATTAAATTGACAATTATCGTGTGAACAGACAAAAACTCAATAAAAAATGACATAATCGGAGAAAAAATTTTTAAGCCGTTTGAAATTTTATGTTTGCATAGTTACCATTTTGAAATCAGCATTTTCCCAATGAAGACCGTGGGACCCCGACGTTTTCCATAGATTACAGAGTTTCACTCTGACTATTTCAACTTCTGATAACAGTGATTCACCCTAACCAAATACTGCCAGGGTTGTACCGGCGTATTTACATTATTACCGATAGACCAAATTTATTTATGATAATAATATATTGAGGGTTACTTGTCCTGAAGCCGTTGGAGGTGTAATGTGACATAAAACTATGAAGAAAATACGAATTTTGTATCGCCAATTGCGCACAGTTCCTTTACCATTTGGAACACTACCAGTATCATCAGTATGATTGTGAATAGAAAATTGAGTTGACAACATTGTTATAAATTAATTCACATAAGCATATATGGATGAGTCTATATGCTAAATTATATTCTCAGATACTGATCATGATGGAAAAATCGAAACCATAAAGATATTCTCAGTAACGACGTACAAATTTATCCCCGAATGGATTTCTGTTATCGAAACATATTCAGTAGAATTTCGTATAGAAAATGATCATATCTCTGCTATCATTTCTTGTAAACTTAAAATTACATTAGTTTTACCTATTTCGCTTCGATTTAGAATACGTTACATTTTTCAAGATTAGTTGGATTCTGTTTTCATTCCACGAATCCAGATATTTCGAATGTTTATCCAATTTCATCTATGATTCTCTCGATAGATTAGAGAATAGAGAATCTCATGATGATGATTCTTCACGATAAGCCTTGGTAATCAATATATGATAAATTTGATTTAATCAAAGCACTTAGGATCCAGGAATTTGATCTTCCGTTCATCCAATTTTCTCAATTTTTCTTCTCATCCGTGTGTCTTTACATTATTGAATTATTGTAAGCGAACTCTCTGGCATTAATTTTGCTGTAAACTCGAATCGACAATGATAAATAATGTTGAAATATGAAATAAAAAGTGTAAATACATAGGGAACCATATTTATATGATTTTTATCGACTTTTTTTGTCGTCCTACAATTTCTTTCTAAACTCCATGAGATTAAGCAGAAGCTGTAGATATTTGACGATATATATTTATGAGCGATTCCGCCGATTCCGTACAATCGTCAAAAGAAGTTCGTAAAGAACGTGAAGTGGCATCCCATATAGATAGACTTATACAGAATCCAACTTCACGTTCTTTACGAACTTTTTTTGACGATTGTATATGAAAAATTGCCTCAAAATTTTAAAAGATATTGAAGATTGAATTTTTTCTTCAAAAAACATTTTTTTTTTTCATTTCTAATTACGAGCCACTAGGAATAACAAAAAAATTGAACCCATAGATTTTGTCCGAAATTTTCTCCGCTTTTCGAAGAAATATTGTTTTTTTATTTATGTATGTATTTTGCTATAAAAAATTTCTAAAGAAAGTTTCAAACGGTCGTCCTAGCTCTTTTTGTATTTTTAGTTGCTTCATCGGGAAGTTCAGGAAATTGCCTAATAAAATACTTAGTGCTGTCGAACTGACGAGTCCGTTCCTTCGTTTTCAGAGATGGGAGATGTGGATGTGCGTGGGGAGTAGCCAAAGTGGGGGTAGCTACGAAGGGAACGGACTTGTCAATCGCCTATATATTGTTAGGTCCAAGCTGGTGGTTTCCTGGTTCAGGTGGCATAGCTGTTCCCCATGGGGCTTGAGGCCAGATTTCTCGAATTCCACAGCCAAACATAAGCAAGCTACCAAAACGTACTATTCTAATTAATTTGTCCGCATGAATTTGTAAAAATATTCTATTCAGGAATTTTTTCGTTCGTGGAATGTGCCCAAATTCAATCATATATTCAGACGAATATGTAAATAATTAAAATATGGAAATGGATAAGGTGGCGCCGTCGTAATGATCAATGAGGATTGACCAAAGTAGAGGCTCAGTTTTCCAGGGGCAGGTGACCTCAAGCCCCTCAAGCTCTATGAGCAAAATTGGATAGGGTTGCAGGGTTACCAGATGGGGCTCTTTATAGCCAAATGGGCTATTTGGGATGCATTTTGATATAGGCGATATGCTGGCGGCATGATTTTTTCAAATATAAAATACTGTCGAACTGGGGAAAGAGTTCCACTTGGAATTGTAGGTCGCGAGGGTCACGAGGGAGTGGTTAAATTTCACGAGAGTCAAACGTCACGAGGGTTACCAAATGGCTTACCAAAAGGGCATCGTCAAATTTTTAATTTTCCAGGGCCGCAAATGATAATCTGAAAAATTCAATAAAGCTTTACAATTAGCTACAATTGTTCCTTCCAGCACATAATAATATTGAAATGGTTGATCCTTGTACTATAATTGACGATCGTGGAATTGAACCCCTTGATACGCGTGGCCCTCGTTAAGGATGTACTACACCCTTTCGGTCAAAATTCACGTTTTTTTCATTTTTCTGGCAAATTATTGATCGGATTGATGCGCAATAATATATCGTTTTAGCTTTTTATCATTATTGACTGACTCACGAAGTTTCATGGTAGTGCAATCATTTTCCTGCATTTTTTCTAAAGTTTTGTGAACTTCTGAAAAGTTTCAGAAAAAACACAGGAAAATGATTGCACGATCATGACATTTCGTGAGTCATTAAGTAATGATAAAACGCAAAAACGGTATATTTTTTCACGTCAATCCGACCAATAATTTGCCAGAAAAGTTCAAAAAACTTCAATTTTGGCGAAAAGGGTGTATTTTTAATACATCCTTAAATTGAACCCTAGTAACTATCTACACCTGAGACATTTGATCCTCATGGAATTGAACCCTTCAGGCGCTAGATCCTAGTTGACCTGAACCCTCGTGACCCTCGTGAAATTGGACTCATGAGACGCTTGACACTCGTTAAATTGGATCCGGGTAACCCTCGTGAAATTGAACCCTTCAGACGCTTGACCCTAGTGACCCTCGTGACATTGTACCCTTCAGATGCTTAACTCTCGTGACCCTCGTGAAATTGAATCCTTTAAACGCTTGAGCCTCGTTAAATTGAACCCTGAAAAATATTGCTAGCAATGTTAATATAGGTTGTATGAAAGATTAAAAAATAAAGAGTTTAACATGCTATAATTTTTTTTTATCTGTATTATACTGGATTTTTCACATATAATAAGGTTTTCAAATTTTCCTGTTTGAAGTGGGCGGGAATTGATGGAGATATAATTTGGGGAGGGGACTGTACGAGCGCCACGTATTGGCGGTTCGGCTCCCCAAGTGTCTGACAACTAGAGATGCAAATGCGTCGCATGACCCGTCATATGACGGTCATGTGACCGTCATTGACGAGGCGTTCATGACGGCTGTCACATTCCCCCTCCCCCTTCTGTGACCGTCACAACTTGTCAAGAAAAAATGACAGTCATTTTTCATCTATATAGATGAAACTTTATTTTTTTCTCGGTCAATTTTCAGTTGAATTCCTTTTGTAATGGCCTAATTCGCATTTTGAAATGGAAATCACTTTTTTTTTCCATCCATATAGATGAAACTATTTTGTTTTATTCATGACCGTCACAAATTGGAAATTAGTTATGACCGTCATTATGCATTTATATAGATGGTTTGACAACAATTTGGTTACAAATGATTTGTGACAATCGTCTGTAGTTGGAAAATTTGTGCGTCATATGACCGTCACAAGACCGTCTTTTTTGGTCATATGACGCGATCTAAAAAATGACGGTTATTTTGCATCCTACTGACAACCCTGTAGTTGCAGTATTGATTGTTACTGCGACTACCTCGATTGCGGAACGCACCCACAGTTCGATCTCTATTCTTCATGGTGCTGGCAATCTCCCCTATAATCTCTGGTTTAAAAAAGGGGAAATAAATGTAAATAAACACGTGCATATATATCCAGTTGATAATTCCTGAATGTCAAGCTCTTGTAAAGCAACGATTGTATTGAAATACGGGAATAATAAGCAATAAAGTATCGTTCATTTACTACAATTACTATGGCGGAAGTGGTAGTTGCAGCTGACGACTGGATAATGTCTGGTGATTATGAGAGAAATTTGGCAGCCAAACAGCATATTATTGATAAAGCACCCTTCTGCATGTTGAAAATCGATGATTCCAGTGTCCTCGATACAGTCGAAGGACGAGAGATATGTGAGCGATGCTACAAGTCACGGAAATTTTTCTGCTATACCTGTTGCTTACCAGTCATTGATGACAAGTATTTTCCACAGGTTAAGGTAATGGGTTCTTATGCTAGATACGTTTTATTCGTGTATGTTCACGCTTTTATTATCAATCGTAATTTCAATGTTTAATTCTAATTTCAGCTGCCGATCAAGGTGGATATTATCAAACATGCCAAGGAAATTGATGGGAAAAGTACCGCAATTCATGCAATGTTACTGGCTCCGCAGGATGTGAACATTTACACGTATCCTAATTTTCCGGAGTTTTCAAGGGATGATAAGGTAATGTGTGGTTGTTGAAAAACGTGAAAAGTGTTTTTCGCTTTCAAATGGAAGCTTTGTAATCGTTCAAATTTGATATTTGGATATGTTGTGTTATATCAACTCATTATGATCCAAAATTTCCGAGAGAGCGTGCAATGCTTTGCCGCTTCAGAGCAGTTGCTAGCTCGCTAATTGATGCTTCGAGGCGGGAGAAGCGCACCTCGAGGGCTAAGGGCGTTGGTTCCTAGACGTCGTCGATGTGCGCTGCCGGCAATGTATCTCGTGCAATTTGTCGGCAAAGGTTGCGAGCCTGTCGAGGGCCATGTCGGCATGGCCGGTACTCCGAGACGAAAAACAAATGTAAAATAGCGTTGGCGGGAAGAAATAAAAAATTTAATTTTTCAATGTCTTCGGAAAGTTTTAAAATCCATATATTTTTTTGGACAATGAGCGAATACTCATAAATTCGATTTCTATCCTTGTCTTTCGAAAGAATAAAAAGAATGAATGAAAAAAATTGAGAATGGGAGATTAAACATTTTTTGCGATGATTATTATGTAATAATGTGCATCTCCATATTCATTCATTAAAAATGTTTTATGCACATCTTATTTCACGGTCAAATTTAAATAATGAAGCTGTTGAAGAAACCTCCATGGTCATACCGGCACGGTTACACGGGAGGGGGGCGCAGCCCCCCTAGTGTTAATTATAATTTACAATTATGGCGATCTCTGTTAGAAAGCTTGTATTCGGAAGAAAAAAATCTATTGAGAAACAATTCAATGAAGTTAGATAATTTTTTATAACAGAACTGACTTCTTTCGTAATTTTTCAGTTTCGATCAGAAAAATTGAAACAATGACAATTTTTTTCAGGTTGTGCTAGTATTCCCCAATAAAGACGCGACAACAGTCGAAAACCTCTTCTTCCAGTCCCAAAATACCAGTGTGCTTTCCAACTTTTCGAGCCTGCCAATAACACGTGCAGTATTCATTGACAGTACATGGCATCAAACCAATGCAATTTTCAAAGACGAGAGATTATGCAATTTACCATGTGTAATACTAAAATCTCGAATTTCCCAGTTCTGGCGCCATCAGAAGAAGAGTCCTCGCTGGTATCTAGCAACTGTAGAAGCAATTCATCAATTCCTTGTTGAATTACATGAGTGTGCTTATGGAAGAATAGAAAATTACGTTTTGAAGGAGATAAATCATTCAACGAAAGAATATTGTGGACAGTACGATAACTTATTATACTTCTTTAAATACATGTACGAAAAAATTCACACAATTTATGACCATAATCAGTTATGGGCTTACAAGAGACCTTTGATTTGATTAGAATAAAATTAAAAGACTAGATTTATAAATCACCAAATTATCTGTTTTGTATTATAATATTTTTATTCTGTCTCTGTTCCTACATAAATATATAGAGTATATATATATATATGCTATATTAAGGTACTTTAAGCCTTAAGATACTTCCCGTGATCATTCAGCCATACAGCATCACTTCCCCATTAATCCTCCCTTTCATATACACTCTAAAGTCCTTTGTCATCACAAAACTTGAACGAATACACATCAATTGTTGAAAGCATTTTGATTGACGAAACTAACTTTGTCCGACAATGTAAAACAAAATCTAACAAAAAAAGTGAAAATTATCGCTACTGTACACCCAGGCAGATTGTAAAACGATGATTCCAATAGAATTGGTCAATGAAATTATCCTGTTAAATAAGCAGTCAATTGAATTTTCCTCTGTTGTAGGTCATACACTCAAAGTACCTGGGCAAAGTCTACTATAAACAACGATTGAAGTAATATATGAGGAAGAAGTAGATCAATTTACGATTTTAACAGCAAGTTTCTTCTAATTTTTGTGGCACTGTAATGGAAAAGAATAAATCCTAAAATTTCTTGCACATGATTGAGTCAGCATTTTCGAAACTAACAGATTTTGACTAATCGGTCAAAGGATCTTCTTTATAGCGTATACAAGTTTCTGCAATAAATAGTCTCTTGCTGAATTGCTTCTGCCGCGTTCGTTCAAAAATATTTGGAAAATTCCGTGAAAAGCACTTCATGACTCATCTCTTTTTTACAGTTTATTGCAAATTAGAATTCCCCACAATTCAATGATACTGTCTAACCATTCATTCTTCTCTTTTGTCTTTCGTCAATGCTGTCGTGCTTGATAATAGTTATTACACACCTGTATACATTTATGGCACTGAAAACACACAAGGCTATCATATTCATATTCCCAGTTTTGAAAATTTATTTACTCTTTTTTTGAGGCTATTACTAACAGCGCTTGGCCATATCCATGTCTAGTTTGCATTGACTCATTGATTATTTTTCATAAACGGGAAATGTAGATACATTTCTTTACATATTTTCCGTATCTCCCTGACAAGACGGTTTGAGAAAAAAAATGGAGATTGACTTTTAAAAAATAATTAAGTAAATAAGTTTCGTCGTCTTATATTTCTTATTAACTTTGATCGTTCTGTGATGTGAATTAGAATAGTTGGAATAACATAAACGAGGAAGAGACGATTTTATCATAGGTAGAAATTAGAAAAGGAGGGGAAATGCTGTATGAATTTATCTTTGGTCAAGTCTAAGTATTTCCATTTTGCAATTGATTATCCCATCCAAGTCTCTAAAATGCAGACTTCCATTGACCAGACGAAACTGTCAATGACTGTAGTTGTAAGGGCTCCTAATAAATCATAAGACATCGAGATTCATGAACTATTTACATGCAAAAATAAACAAACGATCGACAATGAGATCGAACAGAGACAAAATCAAATCAACTACTTAGGTAGTTGGAGAGAATAGACGCAGTATTCCAGAATTATGAAAATAATTCGCCACTGCGGTCAAACTATGGAATGATTTGCTCGTCGTTCGACGACAGGAATAATCAGGAAAATTGAACGCTCATCTCTTTGATTATTACCAAATAATAGAGGAAATCTAATTCATCGCAGATCTTTTGGAATCTTCCACCAGGCAGGAATAACTGGGACTTAAGGTGCTGTGAAATTCAAGAGACCCCTGTGCTCTAGTGAATCACGAAGTGCTGTAAACAATTGTAGCTGCTGTTCAGGCTTCAAACTATAAACTGCTTGCAACAATTTTTGGGGTGATGCTGTGTGAATGAATGAAGAAATGTATACATTGACAAATGTTGCCATCAGGTACTGACAGTCGAATCTATCCATTATACCGCCGTGACCGGGGATAACATCTCCAAAATCCTAGAATTATTTTTAAACTTTTTAGAATTTCAATGACTAGCGAAGTGATCGTAGCAAATTATGTATAACCATCGTGACAAGCGAGGGACATTAAACATACTGGTAGGGAATCAATTACTTAGAAAATCCTACAGACTACACAAAACGACTGTTGACTTTTTCTCTAAAATGACTTCAGTTACCTTAATTTTGAATGCACGTTTAAATCCGCTGGCGAAGAATCCTCCGAATGGACCAATTACTGAACTGAACACCGACATTGATAGAGAATGAAGCAAGAATGGATAAACAGTAACTGTTTTCTTTCCAAACTGAAAGAATTTATTGCATGAATTATTTTATTAAAAATGTCCTGTGAAGAATGATAAAAATTTCATACCACTTTAGTTATAATCTGTAAACTACTATGAATAGGATATTCCTGTGGTCGATAAAGACTAGAAGGTTCACAATCCATTGTCATCCTCCCCAAAGTTTCACTGTACTCAATCGGGCAGACAAAGTAGCGATATTGGCACAGAACGTACGACATCTGAAATCAACAAAGATCATAAAAGCGAATTTGCAATAAAACTATGATTTCTTTACCAATAAAACATTCAACATCATATTACCAATAATCCGAGTACGACAGTTGAGATACCGCCGCCAATGAATCCCTCCCACGTCTTTTTCGGTGACAATTTTATCAGAGGCGTTCGCCCAAAGAAGAAACCAAAGACGTACGCCATAACATCATTTATCACAATCATACTTACTGGTACAATGAACCTAAAATTGACCAAATCAAACCACTTGAAAAATTAAACATCAAAGATTTCACTGGAGAAAGTGAATGTAGGCAGTATATGATACCATATTAGTCCTTCGAATATATTTTGTATGATTAAATAACTCTGTGTGACGACAATTAAAAGCGCCACATGGGTCCACGCAAACAGAGAGAATTGCTTCATGTAATACTTCTTTACCAGTGATAAAACGAACCAAACGAATCCCACAATGTACAAGCAAAAAGATATAAATCGATGATAAGTCACCAACACCCTCAACAGATCCTGAAAAGTCAACAAATTGTAAACACTCGATTACCATTATTTCTCAATAAATTGTATTAATATGTTGGGAGTCTCATTTAATGTGTTCGATAGTTTCTAAAGGATTTTATTGACTTTATGTCTGTCTCTAGTAACAAGTTGAGCGTAACTTGGATCAGAACGCACAAATTGGATTTTCAATCTAACAGTGCCATTCTTCTTTTCTACTATAGTTCTATCCAAATGTATTGTCCATTCGTCATAAATATAATAAATTAGTAAAAGAACGAAGCGAGAAATATTATCTGCATAAAACACATTCTTGAGTAAAAAAAAACTATTAATTATGAATTATGAATTTATTCTTCTCTTAGTATTTTTTCATCATCACTCACTGTTCTATTGATGACCACAGCAAAATAATCCATCAGATTCTCTCCGTAGAAGAAATAATTTGATGTTATAAGAAAATACCAGGATAATGACCTGAACCACGGTAATCCGTGGATCCTGTACACAGCATATCCAATGTTAATGATTTCCTCAAAACATTTCACTTGTACGACTAAAGTCTGGACAAAAAAAAAATAAAATGTTAAAACATTTCTATGCAATTCAGCTTTCTGTTATGAGAATTTTTTTAATAATACTGACTGTGACCATCAGTGCTAAAGGGCCCCCATAAATAATAAGACCAAACCCTCCAATCATCAGCCACGTGAAAATACCACGGATGACCCAATTTTTCCAGCTGCAGAAGAGTTAGAATATGAAGAAAAAATCAGATACATCTTTCTATTAGTGCATGGGTTCTTGGTAACAAAATAACAAATATACCGCTCGGGCAAGCCGGAAAGTACATTTCCAAGAATACTCGGGGTGTGATCAGTGCCTTGAGGGAGAGTTTTAACCAATTCATCGACTTCGAGCTTTCCATCGTCTTCGGATTCAACGTCCTCTCTCTGTAACAAGAAACAAGGACTCGAGAAAATGTGGATAAGAATAAACAATCACGTTTTATCGTGCGATTAGCACCTCTGAATTAGCGCAATTAACGTTATAAATGAATAAATTTTTGACGAAACACAAACAAATTTATTTGACAGCAATGAGAATTAATAACATCAATCAATTAGCAAATTAAAAATGTATTCTCAATTCGCCAGCCAATTCGTCGAAGTTGGCGGATATTAAAGACACTGATCATTTTAATTATCTCAGAAGGGTCAGTAAATCCTGTCGTTTGATACCATAGGAGAAGCAATAAAAAATAATTCTTTGATAGTATATAAACATCAAATCACTCAATAATATCTACCTGGTCCTCGCTGGTATCACCACTAACACCTGACGTTTCGCCCACGGCGGTTCTCTTTCGCAATTCCGACATTTTATTACTGACTTTATTATTTGACTTATCTTTATTCTATGAATGCGATTTTTTCGTTTCAGTACACGAGCACTGAAGATCACTTGGTCGTATCCATTAACTACACATTTTACATGTTTTAAATAATGAACCCAGGAGGGCGGACGTGATAAACTGTTCTTAAAAGGTCTCGCTCTCGCGCAAGTTAAAATCGTAGGTTAACGCAACTCAGCGAACACAGTAATCGGACATATTCGGATGAATTCGGTGCGCATTGAAAAATCGATTCTTGTTAAGGAGAGTCTACATTAGACGCACGTCATTAACGCATCGCAACTAGTTGTCATACGTTAAATCAGTGCAAACAAATAATGTACGTCTATTGTCGACTCTCCCTTCATGCATAATAGAGCAAAGACTGAATGGAAGAACAAAAAGTTCTATCGAGATGAGAGTGGCAGATTGAAATTACGCAAATATGCAATGTCATTTATGAAGTGATACGGAACAAAAGTCCACTTTCCTAGTTTCTTTGTTTCTTCAGAAAAATTTTGCGATTTGTGGATAAGAGTTAATAGAAAAAAAGATGAACAGTAGAATGCACGTCAATCGTGAGGTCTCATTCCTAGCTCACTGAATGAGACATCGGGCATAATCACCCCTGGGTAAAATTCCAAAGGGGTTAATATCCTGATATATGGGAGAAAATATGGAGAATATGCCCAGTGACAATTAATCAGGGTGTACAATTTATAATTTATTGTGCAAGTGATGATAGAAATTTCTTGATATATGTCTATGGATAGGCCTGTTTGAATATTTTGAAGTGGATAAATTCAAATTTATGAATTTTCTTTTTGAATGAATTTTCTGTTTTATATTGCCAATTGGAGATCAAGAGTTTTCTTGTACTTGATAACTCGACGTTTGAGGATGCTGATAGGCAGCCCATATTTTTCTGCAATTGTTTTGTAGTCTACTGGCTTTAACGATCCTGACCCACGTTCCACATAATCAATTATACCCTTATAGCCATGGAAACCTCATTCCACGACTGTCTATCTGACGTTCGAAATATTTTGCACAGTGTATGCTGCGACGTAAAATGTGTAAGAACCCTCTCCGTGAGTTATCATTGTGATAAACATCATCGTTCAATTATACTGTAGACAGTAAGGTATCAGAACACCGTGTGTTGAAATAATAAACCGTGATTAACCATAGTGTGTCAGTATCAATAGTGTTGAACATGTGTTCATTCGTGAAATCAATTTTTTCATACGTAGCCAGCTGTTTTGCAGTCTCCCTAACTTCTTTACTCTCCAACTTTCCAGCGATCAGCGACAGTGGGGAGGGTGTTCCCTTACTCTGAACACCCCAAACGTGTATGAGTAATATGCTTGTATCCCTCTGCGCTTGGTGAATGCGCCGTAAACAGCCTCTGCTCCCACACTTTTCATACTCCGTGTCTCATAACTTGTTACTCTCACTTTACTTGGGCGACGCCCCTCTAGCGACAGAGTGCGGTTGTCCCCAATCGCTCATTTCGTGGAATTTGTAGCCCCGACGTGATGAAGTTAGGGAGACTCTACTGTACTTGGTGAATTTTAGTTCCCAGATTTAACATATACCAACTAATACAGTTTCGGATGACCGTACGCATGCCAAAAACTCATTTCTGATTCTAACGAATATTTATTAGTACAGGAAGATGAAAATAAAATAGGAGTAAAATATTTCCACCATGTGAAAGAATTCCGTTATGATAAGCAACGGTTGTAAAAGAAAAAATAGCTACAAGTATTACTAGAAGGTGCAATAGAATAAAGTCAAATCACCCGCTATTTAATAGTTATTTATTTAAGAAAAATATTCTGAGTTCAGCTTGCAACTGTGATCATATAATGATGGCTTTAGACCATGTGTTATGGAATTGTCCTAATTATCATTTAAAGAGAAATATATTAGATTAGCAAATGAGTTGAGAGCATTCAACATTAACATTGGAGATGATATCCAGAAAATCTATTTGCAAAATAATATCAAAGCTATGAAATCTATTGATGAATTTTTGTTGGAAAATAATATTAAGTTGCAATAGTCTTTTCATAAAAATTATTCATATTTCATCTGTGGTATATGAATAGTTGAAAACTGATAATACCTTCAGGCATTTCCCCTGGAACAAGAACAAATCAGATTATTTGAATACGAAAATTAGTAACGCCTTCTCCAGGACATAACAACAATTTCATTGGGAAGAATAATGGTAGTGCTTTCCTCTAGACGTAAGCTTCTATGTAGTTTTTAAATGGAGGACATCGGCACCTGTCGACAACACAAGGGATACTAGTTGTCGACAACTTTGGTACATATTCTGTTTTTTACATGAGTAGAATATGCATATAAAACGAGAACCTTCTCAATTCAATTTTTCGTCATTTTCAAGCCTCCCCTTCACTTTCTACACTAGCTACAGATGACCTGCGTAAAATACAAAGGTTAAACTTTCTCAACAGTATAAATGTTTTTATATACAGCATCAAAATACACTAAGAATATGAGCAACTTCGTTATTTATTCAGTTACTTCAATGCACATTATGTATACATAAATATTTAAAAAAATGACTCTTATACAGGTTGTCCCATTTGAAAAAATACGGCCAAATATCTCCTGAAATGGGCAAGTAACAAAAAAATGTTGGATACAAAAATTGTAGGGTTTCGAAGGGTCATTCGATGCATTTATTATTTTGAGCTTCCAAGCTCATGCTTGCAAGTTGCAAGCACAAAGTGCTTTTTTTATGAAAGAAGTGCAACCGCATTTCTCACCCCAATGAAACCTGTTCATCTTGATGAATTGTTTTCAGATACCTCATCATTCATGTAATTTCTTCTAATTTTACTCGAAAAATGACACAAAAACGAGTTTTGTGGTCAAATGGAAGATTCAAACATCCTTGGCGCACCTTGATGTAATTGTTCCGTTGATCTGTTTACTAACAGGAGTTATCAAATGTAAACAATAAACAAATTTTTTTTCTACTACTTCCAGGTTTCTTTTGTTCTAATCAGTGCCAATTCAACCAGAATCGAGTTAACCCTCCTGAACTGGCATTCGGTGCCCACCCGAATCCACTGGCTCGGTGAGCAACGCGCCGCCCGTGTTACGGCTAGCGCGGTGTTGCCACATTGGAGCCCTATACGTGAATAAAAATCTACACTGCACACATTTTTCTCGACTTAAACACCATTTATGCTCTAAAAAAAAAATCGCGTTTTTTATGATACGCCAAACACGGCACGTGATAGAGATATTGACGTTTCTAGTATGTCTGAACTGAAATGAACGACGTGGTAACAACGCGGCTAAAAACCGACTATACGAGTCCACTGGCTTCGAGCGGCGAGGCGCCGCTTTTCTGTACCAGTCTCACTAAATTATTATTTTTCATGGCATTCATGGGGTTTTCAAGGGATAGGAATCTTACCAGTCTATTTTAGAGGGTTTGAACTGGGCATTGCAATTTTTACAAATTTTTTCATACATAATTTTGCATGCAACAAGAAAAAATCGAGAAAAGGCGGCGGTTTGCTCATTGAGCCAGTTTAGGAGGATTAACGGTGGAAACATTGAATATCTCCTGTAAACTCTCAGGAACTTCCACACACGTTCGCGTTATTTTTTTCGTTTTTTTAGCGCTAGAGATGCGAAGTAGACTTTGCCTCCACGTGGTGCATCCTGGGTCACACTAAAAAAGTCTGAATCTTCAATTTGACCACAGAACTCGTTTTTGTGACATTTTTCGAGTAAAATTAGAGGAAATTACATGAATGATGACGTATCTGAAAACAACTCCTCAAGATGAACAAGTTTCAGTGGGCTGAAAAATGTGGTTGCCATTAATAAAAAAAGCACTTTGTGCTTGCAACTTGCAAAGATGAGCTTGATAGCTTAAAATAATAAATGCATCGAATGACCCCCTCAAAACACTACAATTTTTGTATCGAACATTTTTTGTTACTTGCCCGCCTTAGGAGACATTTGGCCGGATTTTTTCAAATGGGACACCCTGTAGTTCGAAGTCGATTAATTACTGGATAACTATGTAAAACGTGAGTTCGAAAATTTTAATTAACATATAAATACAGGATATGTATAGTTTGAAAACTATCATAGGCACTTTAGCATGAACGGGTTATCACATAGGTGTGAAATACTGTTTCTTACTCTAAAGTCGTTGTGAATTTTGGTCGATATATTTATATAGCATTTTTTAAAACTTTTAGCACATTAATCTACGAGTTGAAAGGAGATATATTTGACATATGTGAGGAATCCAATGACATATTACTTCATGTTGCAACAGAAAATAATTATTGTTTTCAATCAATTCAAATTGGCAGAAGATATGTTTTGTTTTAATGATACAATAGTTTCTATAATACTCGAATGTTTGCTTGAAAGGAAGCATCAAAATTCAGGGGCACTAATAGAAAAAAAATCCCACTGATAACTATCAACAATTTCTCTGTAATTTGCGGACCAACTTCAATAGCGAAATGTTGACCAAAAGTTGACACTAGATATTTTTCAACTACTAATATCAGCAGAGGCACAGAATGGACGGTTTTTCATTACTAATTTAGCTCTCCAACTCATGTTCATACTCAATATGTTCAACTAGATTTTCAAAAGTTATCTGAAATGGTTCTAAACACTGATTTTTATGATAAAATCTCTAATTCTGTTGAAAAGTTACAAAATTATCCAAGTAAAATTTTCCTGCGAATTTTACCTCCCAGGATCGAATTTTCAACGTTGATAACTTTTTCTTTCTCCACGAACTTCATTTCATCAACGAATATTCTATATAGTTTTCATATGCAATTCGTGTACGAAGAAGAAATCTCCAACATCGGTATTACAACCCGTATTGAGAAGTAGGCACATGTTTTTGCCGGGAAATTTGTTAAAGTTTAGCTTGTTTTCTTGACGCGTTACCCCAGACCTCAAGCTTTTATGTCACTTCTTACACCCTTTGCAGCTACAATTGTCTATTGTAACCTCATTTTGTGACCTATTTCTCTGTCCAAGAACATGAAAAAAAACTGAATTTCGCCGGTTCAAATTATTCAAATGTTTAAGGCAAGTCGAATGCATCCGTTAATCATCCATTACAGAAGAAAATATCGAGAAACCATTTTCGTTGTACTTTTTCCCAGTTTCCAAAAAGGACTCTTGGAATTCTCTATTTTTAGACATTATTGTAATCAACATAACTGTCGCGTGTCTCTTGGATGTTTTCACTCGGCCTCTTTTGAATCGATATCAACACATTCAAGCCTTGAGCATCGCCATTGGGCCAAAACCTTTATTTATCCCCGATAATAGTATTAAAAAATTGTCCAAAATAATAATATCGAAGAGTTCATACCTCTTGAAAATCTATATTTGAAATTGTAAAGATATTCTTTCCCTCACTACGCAGATATCTCGGTAACCGAAGGAATACTTCAAGCACTATTGACTCTTATCTCGATCTTTCCTACACCTTTCTCTAAGCAGGGAGGTATCCGACAGTGAGTAAGTCCCAGGTTCAAAAACAGGGGGATACTCTAAGCCAGGATAGTCATCGGGAGGTGGAGAACTGGGTGGCGGTATATATGGAAGTGTCGGCGGATATATTAAATGGCTGGTATTGATCCTCTTATTTCCATGTATGACAATATTCTTGTCAGCATTCATCGATGGAGTTTCTGGACTCCAATCACTGGTTGAACTGACAGAACTAAAACTCTGACTCAATGTATGAGACTGACTCATTCCACTGTACGAACTCAAGGATTGACTAATACCACTGTCTCCAGGGCTTTGACTCCCGGATCTCTTTTGACTAGAGCTTTTGTCTTTGAACAATGCCCTATGTAGCCTGGGAGAACCCAGAAGTGTTTTTTGTTGTTCTTTAGGGAGATCTAAACTACTAGGCTTCTGTGGACTCTTAACCCCAAAAAAATTCTTCAATCTATTCGTTTTCTGAGCGTGCTCTTTATCTAAATGCATTTCGAAGGCAGCTCTCATCCCATCCTGTTCAAACGGAGATGAATGAATAGGTGGCGGTTGGTACTGAGCTACACTCTTCAGTCTCGCCTTCTGCCCAGCACTTATTTTTTTATCTGACCGTCTTAATGAGTCCATCCACCTTTTATCATCTCTGCATCGATCATTCAGGTTAAAACTCCCCTTTCTACTGACTGCAGCTTCATTTCGAGCTCTTCGGAGAGTGTCCGAGGATGTGCAACAGGTCAAGTCTCCACTTGACCCCGAGTAGCCATTTTCTCTGACAGATTTCCGCGATACAGACTGAAAAACGTCTTCCCTATGGAATTCACGATTTCTACCGTCCTTTACATTCATCAGTTGAAGTGATTCGTTCCTGGGATCAATTTTCGTCATGTGTGTAGTGATATTAGGAGAATTATGAGTAGATCTCCCATCAAGTGGTGAATTGATCCGTTTCATTTCGTTACAGACATTCTGCCAATGTAGAGCATCCGTTTTCAGGGGATGATGAAGAATTGCTTCTTGTTGTCTTTTTTCGTAAATACAGATCCGATCACACGTTTCTTTTGGAACTGGAGAAGGACGTTTGTTTATTGGCTGAAATTTCTGGTTATTAATTGACTCCGGCTTGTCTGGCTTTGAAGTTTCACTTGGATTTCTGGCATAACTGCAAGTTCCTTTGTTGAAAGGTGATAAATCTTCGCCATTTCGTGGGTGACCATAGATCATTCCGTTGGTCAAGATATCCGGGTTGAAGTGTGTGTGGTTGTCATCATGCTGGCGGTATTGAAGTTGAACGTGTTCGCTTGTTAGGGGGGTTTTTCGAGGCGATGTAGATGAGGTGTTCATTGACCGTTGATGAGCGTACTGTTGATGAGAGAGCATAAAATCCTCAAGAGTTACGAAGCCACGCAAATCTTCGGATCGGCGACAGCGGCTCGGTTGGGATCTGGGAAACAAAATCGCAATTCTCAATCGTGTGTTCTGGGCATTGTAATGGCAGAGTTCCGTAACGATTATGAAATTTCTCATAAAAAATTCCTTGTATTTATTGTTAATATTATGTGGTAGGTATTTCAATAATATGGCACGTCAACCACATCAATTGGTGTTTTAGGCACAATTAGAATAACCCGTCTAGTTTTCAAACGAACAGACCTTTTATGAAAGAAAAAAAAATAACCAAAACATCATTACTCGAACCACAAAAAGAACGTTCCAATGATTGCGTATATTTTGAATTAATGCAAACTATCGCATGTTCCATTCAATATTCTCCATGCTCTGGATGAATAGTCCAATTTTTAATGCAAAAAAATGGGACTATTCTTTTGGAATGCTTCGCGTGCCTAAAACGTCCCTTTTCACACATTGTGATGAACAATATCGTTCGATACTCGTGGGAAAAGTGTTTTTTGGCTCGTGGGAGGTTTATAGCACGACCCGAAAGCTCGCAATCGTATAAGGCGAATTTTTGGAAAAACATGGAAACTTTGAGCTCGAATATATAATTATAGGTAATTGACACTGAACATAAAAAATTTCACGGGACTTCTTCAAGTATGCGATCTAGATCACTCTTAATTTTTTTCAGATTTTGCCTAGATCTTTCAAATTTATCATTGTGTCGATTTACGCTGGTGCGGCGCGGCTCTTATGGCGCTACCAACGGCGTTTGTGAGTTTTGAGCGATCAAGGGAGTGTTAAACGAAAGTTAATATGAATAGAAACATTCTGGTTGAGTTTGTGCTCAATCGGCAGTGGAGTATTATTAATAAAAATTAATCTAGAAATTCAAAAATAACGCAGAGTATTATGAGAAAATGGATTTTTCGAGTTTAGCGAAGAGATAAAAATCTAGAATAAATCTGGAAAATTTGGAAATAATAAATAACAAGTGGGAAATTACCCTTGTATTGCATATAGTATAGTTATTTTTGCTAATAAATTAGCAATATGCTTCCGAATGGTTATTTTGCAAACCATTTCCTTCTAGCATGTATAATTCATTGTTTATTTCATTTTATTAAATTGAATAAGATTTCTTTTCAACTAATTTTGTCAGATTTTCAACTTAGTTGAATGCTATCATCATCATTATTCTTATTATCCCTTTCTTCTATACAAGTGATTGTCTTTTTTACAGTTCTCTCTCCTCAGCACTTCGATAAAATGTTAATAGAAAAATTTTATTTACGCATACTTGAATGAATTTGCCAAAAAAATCGATTTTGGTGAAAGTCCACGTTCCCTCTGAGAAAATCCAACATCTGACGCTTGACCCACGTGAAAATGAGATTTTTTTTTTCCGTCTTTTCCCATAACATCGGTTATGGGCCCCAGATCACTAAAATATCAGTTTTTTTTTTTAATTATATTTTAGTTGCTCATATCAGGTTTGCATGAATCCTTAAAATTATTAAATAAATAGATTAACCTTAAATGTAATTTGAACCTTTTTCTTTCATTCAAATAATCAACGAAAGTGTATTTTCCACAATCATGGAAAGGCAACAAACTTTCGAATACCATAAGCGATTCCTGAAATTCTTGTATAAATCAATTGAAACTATTTATATCATAACAAAATTTCAACAGAATATCATGGAAAAAAATGTATTTATTCATAAATGATTGAGTTTGAAACATCACATTTGACGAAACCATGAAAAAGCTAATTTTCGGGGAAACTGATAAAAAATTTGAAATTTCTGAAAATTATCATAAAAAAATTAAATCAACGGTGGCAGTTATCGTAACCATCGTTCAACTCGAAGTTGAGGGCATCAATACAAACATTTCAAGCCATAATACAATTCATTCGAAACTAGGAACCCAAAGATATGTAAAAACGAATCGCTTCATCTTAAAAACTACTTGACCGATCGGGCTGAAATTGTGCACAGAGTTAGTCCTCATTAAGACCTATTTGACAAAATTTCAAATATTTTTGAATTATTTTAGCCACTTAATTACTCAATTTTCTAAAAATTGACCATCGGGAAAGTGGCGGTGGACATATTCACATGTAGACATGGTCGCCAAACTTCGTATTTTTACGTTTCAGACCATTCTACATCATTTCCAATGAAAATTAGAGAATATGAAAATCGGACGATTACAAAGTTTCCATTCGGAAGCAAAAATCGGAAAAAGTGTGGCGCCGCGATCATAATGCGTCTAACGAAGTGTTAAAATTAGTTTCAGATTATAATCTCTCCCGTCAGTAGGAGTGCTATAAGACTATTTGTCGCAAAAATTTTCACTCCATAGGAAATATCCCCTAAAACTGCAAATTTTTTTCCTGATTTTTTGCTAATAATAACGATAAGACTTTTTACACAGATTTTGCATCAATTCGTCAGCAACATTTTAGTACTGCAGCAATTTTGTGGCACGTATGTCCATGGTAGGGATTCAGATACACTGAAAGTTCATATTACCGAGAAAGTGTATGCAGCTGCTAAGGTAACCTCCATTAAATTCTTCACTACTTACCTGTCATCATTAATGAAAAAGAGAAAAGTGAATTTAATGAGTTAAGGCCATGTACAAAAGTATACAGAAAAGTAAAAATGAACAAAAAGTCCAGTTGGTGCTTAGGAGAGATTAGTTTATTGCAAATAAAAGTATGGTATTGATAATGTACAAGTGTTTTCTCTATTTGGTGATAGGAAGAAGTGGTCAATGAGTAAATAAAAGAGAAGCCAATTACCATCAAAGAGAAAATTCTGTGCCATCAAAATTACCTGTCGGTTGTCTGACGATAATCCTCCATGTCTCTACTAGTGGTTGGTACATCCGTAGAGCTATGTGAAGACGTCAACGCATAAAACGTACTCCCAGCTACAATAATCCGCAGATCCGGGGAAGTTAATGTTGACTCCGGTTTTTGATTAGGTGTCGTCAACGGTAGAACTCTTCTATAACTCCTGAATTGTGCTGTGGGCACAGGAATATCTTGAGTTCGTGCGCCTAAAAATCTGAGATATTTTCTATCCAAGCTAGCCCCTCCAATTTCATGATCCTTCGCACCCGAATTCTTCCTTCCAATTTTCTTTAAAGAGCCGAATGACGAAGCTTTATCAGTACTCGGTTTTAACTCTGATCCGGTATTTTTTAGTTTTCCTTTAGATTCACTATCACTGTCATCCGTTTCACTAAATAGTCCACTAGTTCTGTTATAACTATCAGCCCCCAGTGTAGCTTTATTGATAGAATCCAACCAAAGACTTAAAGAGTCTTCTGCATCAGCGGCGAAATAAAATACTGTTCCAGTGTGATAAACTTTAAATGCAAACTTTCGAGATTTAACTTCTGGAGCTTGAGAAGCTGTGAAACCTGGTAGAACAATCAAACAATCTGATTTAAGACTTTCAGGGTTTTCAAATCTGTAGAGAGACGATCCTTTGAGCACAAACCATGACCTCGCCCAAGCCCCTCCTGCACCTCTGCTTCGGTATGTCAACCAGCCCTCCAATTCTCCAGCACCAATATCTTTAACGGAAACATTTCGTCTTTTTGCCAACAAAATGTTTCGCTTTCTACTACTCCTAGGACTATTCGATGATAGTTTTGATGCACTGTGAAGTCCAATACTCCTCGCCACCATCATAGCTCTATTAACAACACCTTTTTCACCATGTTTATCTTTCTCCAATGTTCGTGTTTTCAACTCTGATGCTTGTGTCGAATATTTAGCTGCGTCCGGTGAGTCCGCAGTACGTACAACAATTTCCGGTTGGCTTTGAACTATCAAAGCATTTCCGTTGCCAAATTTCTCAGTAAATAACTCGTATTTTTCTGCGATTGGTTTATCTCCCTTTATCTGGCTCTCGTAGGATTCTACGTAATCGAAGTGACCAATTAAGGCTCTTCGATCACGGATTGCACTGCTCGTTTCGTCTATGAAGTCTGTGGACTTTTCTACGAAATCGTGATGCCCCTCGAAAAATTCTCGCTGATTTGATGGGACTATTAATTCACAATTTGAACGATTTTCAATGCGATGAAGTTCTCTTTTTGAATTCGAACGATTTAAAGTAACTTTTGGCCTCTCTGGTGGCTCAGGTGGAATGACGTTAGCATCTAGATTCAGAGGTGATAGTTTCGTGAAGTATCTACGAGGCGGGGGTTCCGGTGGCGTAGAACGCACGTTTATTTCAGGTCTTTTAGTACACTCTTTACATTCTATAACTTGACGAGACATCGGTTCACATTCCTCATTTTCTCCTGTTGTGGTATCACGTTTGAAGATAACTGACGGTAACTTTGTTGATTTTGGGCTCAAATTTTCTTTTGATTCTGACGTAACATAATTTTTTTTTGAAATATTCATTGATGCCATCGAAATCTCTTCCGCGTTAATATCTAAAATTTCACTATTTTCAGTTATTGGCAGACTTGTCTGATCAAATTTATCCAACAATGCTTCAGCTTTACTCCTATTACTATGAATTCTATCCATGTACCTTGATTCAGATTTCCCTTGGCTACTTCCATAATTTGATAAATAATTCGCGTTTTTTTGTGTCTCTGACGGAATTATCATGTTCGTGACTAATGACTCTTCTCGATCGTTGATGATGATTTCAGATTTCCTTTGTTCTTTCTTTAAATCCTTACATGCATTATTTTCATATAAATCTTTTACATCAGACACTTTCAGATTCGTCCTTAGGTCGGTGGTATTACTCTCTCGAACTCTTTCCTCTATAGAATTAATCTTCTGTGCGACATGACCCTCCAACCTAACAACCTCCATCATCTCGAACGTTTTATTAATTTCTAAATTATCCTCCCTTACGTTAATATCAGTCTTCAACACATCAATTCTCTTCGTACAGTTTGGATGATCTTTTAATGAATTTCCAGGATCACCAGAATTTATCTTCACAGGAGTTATTTCTATTTCATCATACGGAGGAGTACTGTGACTTTTGTCCAATTTTCCTTGGTCATTACGACAATAGTTCTCACTTTCGGAGGGGTAAATTGTGTCGATATCATCAGCAGTGCAAGTGTTAGGCAGACCGTATTTTCCGGTTGAAAATACTAAAGAATCACAAGTGTTATTCGTTTTTCCGATTATCGTATTAATAGCATACTCATCTCCGTCACTTTTTGATAAATTATTCTCACTGGCACTCTCAATTTTGTTATGATTTGTGTTATTTTTTGACGTTATACCGTTCTCACTTTTTTTATCTTCTTGAATTCGTTTTTTACGCTTTGATTGTTCAATGCCCAAGCACGTCTGTGGTCGCAGATTCGTGGGTACTGTATCTAATCCGTGGGCGCAGGATGCAGCCTTATCTCTCAACTGAAACGTTGTACTGTGTTCTTGCTTCAATTCTTTCCAAAATTGTTCTATATCTATTGTATGTTTGGTGGTAGGACTTGCACCAGTTATTGTGGCACGACGTTGTACTAAGGCTCTAGGTTTTGATGGGTACAAACGGCTTGAAAGTGGTGGTTCGACTTCACAATCAGAGTCACTACTATCGGTCCCCATCGTATCTAGCATACTGACAGTGCTGATTGTACTGATAGGCGCTGGATTTGGATCCTTTGGGGCGTGCCTAGTAGTAAAAATAGTATGTAAATCAATATGATTGCACCGGAAATTCATGGCATGGGAATCAAAAAATTGTTTCATCTTTTCAATATTTTAATCGAATTTATACATAAGACATTGTTGGCATTCCATGCCTACTCAGCCACCTTGATTTTTTTTATTTATGAACATAATTGGCATGTCCAAAATCGAATTTTATGTAAATAAACAATTTGCAAATGTTTACTGTCTTAGCAGCACTTATTGCCAAACACTGACAATATTAGCTCAATTTTTTTGGAAATCCATCTTATGATAACACATTTTTTCTTTTTTTTTCTTTTTCAAATTTAAATTTTAGGCACGGACAAAATGAAAATGAATGGATTTTTTTCTTATCTGAAACGTGATCAAAATAGACTATTTATGGCTTATAATTTAGAAATGAGATTCATTAATAGTTTTGATGGTTGATTTGGTATGGAATGTCTCATATTTATTTATATAAGGGCGTCATTAAATTGGCAATATTTCTATTTGCATATTGATATTTCCTCTTACTCGGAGAAGAAAATGTTTTATCCGAAAATATGACGGTTTTTCCGACAAATTAGGGATTTATATGATGAATGTACGAATTAATACGTTTCACTCAATAGTATTCACCAATGAATTCAAGAATGGCATTGAATTAAAATTACAAAATTTTAATGGGAACCAAAAATGAGAACTTTTAAACTGAAGATGTCGTGTTCCATTATTATGAAAACAATACTCATATAGGAAAAGCCTGAGAGGAAGAAATTTTCAAATTACAAGAATTTGATATAAACGATAACTTCTCTGATGAGGAGTCATTGCTTAGAAGCTAATGATAATCTCACGTTAAAATTTCTCTCCTGAACTATAGTTTGAATACTCATAAATTAAATTAATTTAAATTTGAAATAAAAAACACATTTTATGTTGATCGTCGCCAAGAAGTCAATATTGTAAAATTAACAATCTTGCTTTCTCATTATTTTAATGTGTAAATCAATGGATCATTCATTAAATTACCTTGGGAGTGGAATTGTAAAATCTGGTATTGTTAATAACTCAGGCCTAGGTGATGGTAAATTATGTTGCCATCTCGTAGCATACGGTGTTTTTTTGTTACTCGGTAACCTGTACGGCTTTATGTAAATCTGCCCGTAAACCTTAGTATGCCGTGGACGACGTTTGAGTGTTAATAATACTTCAGCCGGACTCTCGTTGAACAATTCGAGGACATTTTTCCTCTCCCATGCTACGACCGTTTGATAATTAACCTGTTTATTAGAGTGACCAATGAGTGTCAATTTATTACATGACCTTTTTTATGAATGGAATAATCATGTATTACTTGAAAAAAGTTACGTGAAAGTTACCTGTACAATTTCATCTCCCTCCTCCATCTTTCCGCACTGATGTGCTACTGAGCTGAACTTAATTTCAGCAATCTGATGAGTTCCATGAAACGATGGAAGTATATAGAATCCCAGATCATCACCAGGTTTTTTTTTCAACGTCGCTAGATCCAAACTCGCAGGTTGGAGAATCATGGGATCAGAAATATCCTGAATAATATAATCAGCCAATTGAGCCAATTGGCCACAAGTTGTTCTTATTTCCTCAATTGGCTTCTCCGCAAATCTGTCTCTCTGTGCACACGTTGCCATTTCAATACTCAACTTTAATAATAGTGTTTTTTTGTCAGCGTACTCTAATTGTCCACTGAAAGGTGGCTTATCCAACCACCTCACGAGTGGTTTAACTGATGTAACAACACCGACCACATCGGATAATGTTTGTGTTGTTACTGGCTTTGAATCTGTTTGCCTCGATAGCTCATTGTGTAAACTATGGGCTTGACAAGAGAGCCGTAGTGCAAGTAATTGGAGATTTTCGCGATCAAGCTCATAGTGAAAGTTTCTTAAGTACTCAACAGCTTCAAGAATTATCTCCTGATGCCCCACTTTGAGGACACCCAATTGTTCCAAATCCTCAGGCCTTAGACTCAATAATTGCTGACCGTTTACTTTGTTATTTGTAAAACTGTGCACGTAGGGAAGAACTGAGATGTCAAGACCTAAAAGATGTCAATAGAATTGGCATTAGTCATGAATTTGAGTCAGCTATTGGGTGTCAGTTGGAATGGGGCGGGAGGTATTTCTGATAAAACATCAAGATAAGAACATCTGCGGAAGAGAAGAAAAAGATCACAGGGAATCATTACGCACATCACGACAAAGAGTAAATGGGATGGAGAATATTCATGAAAAATTAAAAAATATATATCAGAAGTCAGTCGATTAAATGAGTGGGCAGTAATTTGTCCATTTTGAGGCAATGATAATTGTAAGGGAGAGTTATGCAGGAGTTGAAGACTCCACGCACAATGATAAGTCAATTTACATGCTCGTCACGCCCTCAAAAACACCAAAGCACTCAATTAATTTCACAAAGGTCTCAATAATTTCATGAGTTTTTTTGTTGGCACCTTTTAACCATTCACACACTTGATCGGTTTTCCATTCCGCAACATTTACATACGCCATGACCCGTCCTCGACGATCAAAAATAGTACATGAAATGTATGGTGACCCCAAGTTGAAACAATTTAGTATAATAGTAAAGTACAGTTGGCGAGATTGTTTCGACTGGGAATTGTAGGTTATACGGTTATAACCATGGAAAAATAGAGACCGGGACCATAGACATAATAATACCTGGACCGCGCATGTGGTGGGGGAAGCTGTACAGGTTTAGGCAGAGAGAGATGCACTTGGTCCCTACCTATCCTTGTTCAGCAGTGCTGAGAGTGGGGTGAGAGATGCTGCAGGGCGGAAGTACCACCCACGCTCCCCCCCCCGCAAAAGTATGAACGGAGCCCCTTGATCAAAGAGAATCCAGTGATCTCATTGGTTGCCCACCAAGAGTAGTTAACGGAGAGATCAATTGATGACTCTCACATTTACGTATCGATCGCGAATAATCTCTGTCTGCGGCGTCGATACCCAACTCATTGTTGCCGATAAGGTATGATAGTTGCCGATGATCGACCGTGGCGTCATCTCTTTCATGGACTAATACTAATTTTCTTAGGTTCACTCAAACCTCTTGATTCAGGCCTCTACTCAGGTCTATCCTTGTTGAATGTAACCTATGTGCTATACAAAATAATAATAATGAGAATAGCATCCCGGGTTGTCTGGTGAATTACATAAAAACTACTATAGTTCGTGAGGAAAATATATAAAATTGTGAATAAAAAATAATAATTTTGTTGAACCTTGACTTCTCTCGTCTCTCAACCACAGGTGAAATCCCATATAAGAATGATCATACTCAATGTAACATTGTTATTCCATAAGTTTTTCAATTTTTGCATTGCTTTCAACTGACTATTGCGTTATTATGAAATAATTGTAGATGTTTTATCCTGATAATCACTCATATTGCACTGGAATATCAATCATTTCTTAATCCTTCAGTGATGACGTAATATTTCGTGAAAAGTCCTCAACAAAATGTTGGTAGCTTTATGTTAAAATAGCTGCTGTACATCTCAAGGACAATTTAATTTTCGTATTTATACCTTAACTAGCAGTGACTTCTAATAACAATGTACTACTACCAGATTAAAATTTATAGGCTTCTGATGCTGTGGTGTTTCCCGGCCTTACAACATTCTTGAGTATCTATATCAACCTTTTTTTTCCTCAGAAGAATATTTTCAACACACCATATAATCTTAAGAAGAATAAAGTGAATACATTGGTTATTATTCGTCAAAAGAACAATCTGCGAAGGCTTATACTTTTTAACTCCATAGCAGTTATACACCGCCGATCAGCAAAAATATCACTAATTAATTTGACTGATCGAAATTACGGATGTACTACACCCTTTCGGTCAAAATTCACGTTTTTTTCATTTTTCTGGCAAATTATTGATTGGATTGACGCGAAATACTGTATTGTTTTTGCGTTTTATCATTATTGACTGACTCACGAAGTTTCATGGTAGTGCAATCATTTTCCTGCATTTTTTATAAAGTTTTGTAAATTTTCAAAAACTTTTAGAAAAAACGCAGGAAAATGATTGCACGATCATGAAATTTCATGATCGTGCAATCATTTTCCTGCATTTTTTATAAAGTTTTGTAAATTTTCAAAAACTTTTAGAAAAAACGCAGGAAAATGATTGCACGATCATGAAATTTCATGAGTCAGTAATGATAAAACGTAAAAACGGTATATTTTTTCACGTCAATCCGTTCAACAATTTGCCAGAAAAATGCAAAAAACTTAAATTTTTGCGAAAAGAGTGTAATACATCCTTAATTGAAGAAATAAATAATTTATTTTCATCAATTTATTCCACATGTGCCCAACAAGAATCATAATGGTGGCTCACACTGTACTCCTGGACTTCACAGTACCGTCTAACACGGTAGGCGATATCGACAAGCGTTCAAACTTGAAATCAACAATTGCAAGTGTTCTGAAGGATCATTTCGACGGTCTCAAGCCCCTGACAGAGTCAACCATCGACGACAGTTTCTTTGTTCTCTACACAGGACCAAGAGGCAGTCTCATTACTGTCCGAGGATATGCAGAGGGCCTTGTGACAGTTAACATTGAATACTACAAGCAAGACGACGAACAGGCACTCATGAGCCTCGAGGTACTAACTTTGTTTATAGCTATATGTCAGTAGTTGATATGCAGTTAGGAAATATACAAATAATTTCATGATTTAAAACAATCTTCTCCACGATGAATTTAGAAAAAAAAAGTCCAAATCATTACAACAATAATTCCACTAAAATTGATACGATCATTAGAAATTTCGAAGGATAGTAACTGCTTCACACCAATTTTTCTCAATTAAAATCAAAGTAGCGTTTATGATTAATTGAAAACGGGCAAGAAGCAACGTTAACTGACAGGACATTGTAGCAGTGGCGTGACTTGGAAGCTGACATTGCCATGGCTTTAAATAGCCAACGCAGCAAACGTTTACCACCTGTAAGGCGAGGAACCATATATGATCTCTATTTGACACTATCAGGTAGAAAAATGCTTTACCGAGAAATTTATTAGGAGTGTGCAAAAGTTCTTGGCGTCACAAATAGAGGCTTCCAATGACTGGGTTATTTATCAGTTGTATCATTCAACTCGTTTTCCTGTTCTGTGAATTTAACACTGTGTGCTCCAACTTCAGTAGATAAATTTAGTTCAACCCTGTGAACCTCCTTGCTCTATGATTAAATATATGCATAAATCTCCTCGCCAAACAAAAAACGAAAATCATAATCGGTGTTGAGAAATGCATTTATTATGATATGTGCAAATTATTATGACAACAGATTATGTGCAAACGAACTATCCACTCCGCAAATATCATGTTGTGCATTTGGTGGCAGGAGACCTATTGCCGCGTTATATGAGAATAGCTCCGCATGTGGAAGTGCTGGGTTCTGCATGTGCGGACACTTCGTATGCGTAATCGTCGATTTTACCACTCGGGCTTCGGCAATGATTATGAATACATGCTTATGCACACCTTGGTGTGTAGAAAAGGAAGTTATTTTTGACTTAGCACCTGACTGTATAGGCGAAAATCATGTTTGGAGTTTTCAACATTAGTTTTCTCAGTCTCACAACATAAATTTTTTTGTTTGCTAACAGTACAGAAAATTTCTCGTCGAAATAGAGGTAAGATGGAGGGAAAAACAAAATTTTGTCCTCCCAAAAAATTAGTTTTTTAAAAATATCTCGAAACGTAAAGGGGATGGAGAATTTTTTGTACAAATCGTTTTGTAGCGCTGAGTAACGTCTATAAGAACGTTTTTATAAAAATTTCTCCATCTACCGTATATTCTGAGATATTCATTGAAAAATTATCTCGAGATTGAGTTGACAATTAGGTTTTTCACAATATCTCAGGATTGATGCAAAATATCGATCTCTTGGTAAAGACCTTGTTCGAAACGTAGCTATCATTCTATCATTTACCTCTCAAATAATTCGGCAATCCTCGAAATTAATCGGGACACTTCGGGTCAACGGTCAACGGTCAGCGAATCACCCAGAAAGGGCTTTTCGGTATAAAAGTATCAGCATAACCGCTCAACCGAGTACATCACAGAAAAGAATCAATCTAGCCATCAACCTGTATCAATCTATTCGATCATAGAGACCCAGTACAATACGTAACGTCTGAGATGTCGCGTCTCAATATGTAAAATCAGTAATAGTACAGTTGTTAGTTAGTCTCTCAACTCCATAACAATGTAACAGATCACAATATCAAATAGAGAGTAGACTCAACGCGAATTAAGTACATCAGCAAGAGTTATAGTTTATCCACGTACAATAGTACATCAGCAACGAATTATCAACGTGTCACGTAAATCACCATATTTAAAGTCAACCGTTTAAGTAATTATCAGAGACAAGTAGCACAGAACATTTATCAGTGAATGACCAGTGTTATATCAAGTCAGTAACTCAACCAATGACAAGAGACTGAAATTAAGTGTATTTAGTGACATAACGAAGTGGTTCGAGTCCACTAATAAATAGTGTATTTTATAATCCGTGACTCATCATCTCCAGACTTCACATTTTCAACCGCCTCCCACAATCCACGGAAACGAACTCCGCATAACGAACATTTTTAAATACAAATTATTATTATTCACCTCTCAGATTCAATTAATCCAAGTTTTTGATGAACCAGTGTAAAATTTGTGTACAAGTGTTTTTTCTGTTTCATTAAAATAAGTTAAAATTACATTGTTAGTAAATTGTACCATTTAGCGTTTTTTATTAATTTTGTAATTTCCAACCGTTTGGTTTTGTCTTCACTCAAGGCCAAACATTCACATTTCATGACATTCAACGATGACAATGCGTTCGTTCGGTGGCAAAATGACCGTACACTGACAAAAGGTTTAGTCCAATTATCCTGCTACATGACAATGCTCAATCGTACATTGCAAAAGCGTCGAAAGTAAAATTATGGGGCTTGGGTGGGTCTATTACAGCCGGTGTATTCCCCAGATACCGTGGCTCCTGAAGATCACCGGATTATACAAACGTATTCTCACTGGAATTTGACAATATTGGAGACATCCGAAAATTTATCAATAACTTTGTCGCTTCTATACCACAACTCTGAATTTTAATTCTTACGGATGACATGAAGTCATGAGGAATGAGGGCAAATATTTTTAGTGAGGTCAATTATTCCATATAATTTATGATAATCAATCAGTTTTTCCAAGAAACGTCGAGAACTTTTGCAGACCCCTAATAAAATTTCGAGTTTGTTCCTTGTTTATATTTGGTATTTTTCTTTTATCTATTCCATATTTATTCACATTTTTCCTTCTTTAGCTCCTTGTTATATCTGCTATGATGAAACCATTTTTTTATCCATTATTCAATAAGATTATTGAGTTGTTTGTTTAAAATTGAAATTTATCAAATGAAGAGTTTAGAATAATGGGACGTTTGCCGAGGAATGCTGAATGATGAATATCCCCAGCGCTTGCAATTCAGTTTTTCTCGAAAATCTTCAGAACCTCCTGCACTCAATAATCCTCATTAATTTTCTTCGAAATAATTGATTAAATAGCATTATATCATTATAGCACAACCAATCGTACAGTCATGAATTACCGTGGAAGGGGAAACCCTTTATATGGTTTTCTGTCTCTAGAAATTATGAATAGAAATGAAATTTTTCCGAAGAGTTATTGTTATTATTAGAAATCAAGAATAACAACCACCATTGTGTTTGTTATTTGTGATTATGTATGAAGGGGATTTTCACCCTATAATAGAAAGTAGAAAGTTCTTTTAACTAGATAGATGCGTTTGTTCTGTTTATTCATTGGTTCGCTTGATGGCTAATGGTAGTCGGCCAGAGACTTGGAGACAGCAATGCAGGCAGCGGCTACAGCCACTCGATCACACGCGCTTGTTCCACTCAAACGCGGTGGCCCATTTGAGAGATACTTTCCCACCGCCGGTGAGTTTTTTTATTTTTAATATGTTCACGGTAAATTTCCAAATCTTGTATATAGCGATCGCTTACGTGGAGATGCAAAAGATTCCCGATGTGTATAATACGAATTCATTGAGATGGATAAATGTCAGATTAATCTCATTCCCAAGAGGAGGTAATATTTGGGAAGAATTGCCTGCACATTGCGATACTTACTTCAATAGGACACTCGTGCGATTTTAATTTTTTTTTTAAATTTCTGGTTTAACACATAAATAAATCATTTTTAAACCATGAACTTTCAAAATATTATCGGCGATTTCAAACGTTCGGGAACCATTCATGACGTTATATAGACGGTCGAGCGCTTGACTAATCCCAAGGCGCCTTGAGCCAACCGACCAGAATATAGACGTCGACGTACCCTATTCAGAATAGTACGTTGAAGTACAAGGTTACAAATTTCGTTTTCGACGAGCGTGAAGTTTACAGGCTGAGCTGGAGGTGAGTTAGAACTGGCAAACAGATGAATAATTTTTTCGCATGTTAAATAAAATTTTTACAAAAGTTTGGTTTTCACGATCACCAATTTAAAGGTCAGACCACGCTAAAACTTGTAGATGTATGGATCTTCCCTTCGAGCACCGTCCCTCTAGGAATAAAATTAATTTGAAAAAATGAAATTTCTAAAGTATTCCTACTTCTAGAGTATTTCAATAGGAGAGCGTATGATTAGGCTAGTGATGCCGCGAGACGCGAGAGAAACGAGACGAGGGTCGAGAGACCCTCCCCCTCTCTGCCCCTTTGTGTATTTTTTTCGTGCAAATTGGATTATAGAGACGAGACGAAAGAATCTCTCAATTCTCTACGAGATGAGAGAAGAGATTGTTCTTATATTTCGATACGAGACGAGACAAGAGATTGGTTTCCTGTCAACGAGACGAGACGAGAAGATGCAGTTTCTCGTCTCTCGGCATCACTGAATAAGATATTTTCTGTACAGCTTTTCACGATTTCTCGTCTGGAAATTGGTATTGCATACTTCCCAAACTCGAAAACTTGAAAATCACTACAAAAAAATCTTGTCTCGGGCTGTTGCGATGGGGTTTTTTCGGCCAACCACACGAGTAAAAGATGACAAGCGAAACGAGCGTCGCGACACTAGTTTTCTAATCACTGAATTTAATTGCTAATTCTAACACGAATCATCCAAGATGAAGAATAAATCAAATGAAATCCAGTTAAAATTCAATCCGGACCTGATAAATACTTCGCCAAGCGAGAGACAAGATATCGCCAAAAATCTAACGAACAAACGAAATGACCTCATTTGCCATGGACCTAAGCGTCCATATAAATCACGATATTACGATATCCTTGACTCACACTCAGTGTGGCGTTACAAAATAAATTCAAATCTAACATTCCACCGCTCACCAGAGTGTAGAATCTCTTGCCGATGACTCCCAGAAGCCGCAGGACTCCCAGAAAATAGGTCGAACCCTGGTAAACGTTAGAAATCAGGACTCGGAAGAACGTTAAGTAATCTCCACCGAAATCCAAAATTCCGAACCGTTCCGTTCAACACCCAAACGAGAAGTCCCTTCACCGGGGCGCTCTACCACGCATTTTCCCGATCACTCAAATCCAACCCTCTGGCTGGTTGCGACCCCGACTCAGTCTCTGATTGGAGGTTCATGACGTACGAAACCCTCCATACCGGAAACCCACGTAGTTGCCACTCCTCTCAAATGCCAATGAGACGTAAATACACAACATTTTATACGGCATAAGCCATCAAAAATCATCAAATAATTAATATCAGATAATAGAATTATTCGGCCCTTTGAACAATAGTCCGATATAATAATTTAGATCCGACCAATTAGCCCCTCACGTATAGATATTCCAAATTTTTATTTTTTCCCTCATTGAAGTAGTTTTGAAGAAAATTGCAAGCTAATAAAAAACATTTGCTAGTTAGTACTTTTATTAAAATAAATTTTTGAAAAATCACCCCTGAAAAAAAAGGCGTTATCGGGCCTTCAATTGAAAGCCCGAGTTGAAGAACCGAGTTTGTAGCAAAGATGTCAGATAATATATGAATGTTTTTTTGGGCTCAAACGAAAGAGCGGGCCGAGAAATGGCGTGCTAGGACCTCTAAAGATGGTTTTGAACCAGGGAAGACTCCTAGACCCCAATGTTCTATACATACTCCTAGACCCCATTGTCCTCCTAGACAATGATGTCACAACTCTGCTATTCAATTGAAAACAGATATCATCTTTAGAGACATTTGTCATGTTTAGAGGCTCTAGCACGTCATTTCTCGACCCGCTCTTTCATTTGAGCCCAAAAAAACATTCATATCTTGTCTGACATCTTTGCTACAAACTCGGGTCTTCAACTCGGGCTTTCAATTGAAACGTTACAATAAAATATAGCCAAAGTAATGTAATAACACATAGTAGTTTAGAAATAAGAAAAAAACCAAATAAACGCTGATGACGTTTCTCCGCGAGGTGGACTAAGGGCAAAAGGTGCCAGATACTAGCGTTGGCGAGCATGCCTCGTTTCGGGTGCTCAGCACATGAATTTTTCTCGGATTTTTTTTCCGTGCATCCCTCATGAGTGCGACTATAACGAGTGTCTATAGTGTCAATATTCATTTTGGCAATTTTTGCATTATGCGACGTTTCTTTTCCATGGTTTTCCCTTTCGTTAAGCTTAGCAACAGCAATCGCAAATGGTGTTATCTATTCCCTATGATGATCATCCATTGAACTTTCCAATTTCTCATCGACCTCTTCCTTACAAATTGCATGTACATAGCATACCACTCTGTGTGTATACCATTCCATGTTTTACGATTTTTTTTCATGTAATTTGTTCTGTGTCTATTGAGAGAATCTCAAATTTTAGCGAAAAATTGAGCCTTACGTTTCACCAGTCACCAAATATCTCGGCATATGTAGATATAATTGTAGGTAATAATGTTTATGCTTTTCACAAGATGGAAAATTTTGTTTTATAGATGAGAGACTACTGGAGTACGATATCGATAAATTAGTATTTGAGGCTCGATCACCATACCAGAAAGTGCAAATTGTTCACTCAAAATCACTGGGGAATTTACTAGTCCTCGATGAACTGCAAAGTAGGTACCAAATCCATTAATTGATGATTAATTGTTCTTCACTGCAACTCACGTTTTGTGGATGTAATCAGATATGTCGGAGGCTGATCTTATCTATACTGAAACTCTCATGCAACGAGGAAAGGAGAATTACACAGGGAAGGAAATTGTGATCTTGGGAGGTGGTGATGGTGGACTTCTCTGGGAACTGCTCAAAGAAAAACCTAAATACGTTACGATGCTTGAGGTAAGTGCTATTCAAAATGAATCCAACTTTGTTGGAAGCTTATCAATTTCGTGAAACTTTGCAGATTGATGACATTGTTATGAAGGCCTGCAGTGAGCATATGAGAAGCATTTGCGGAGATTGTTTGGATAAGAGAAAAGGCGATAATTACGAGGTATTCATTTCTAATCACACAAAATTTCAAGAAACTCGATTCCACATAGAAAAAAAAATATCCCCTTTCAAATAGAGCATAAAATAATGCATACTATTGTTTGTATGCGTGTCGGTAGGCAATTTACTCCGAAATTACTGAACGAATCATAAATTTCAATTGAATTTTTGTTAAGGACGTGTCAAAATAGTGGAGCCGGAATTCAGATCACTCCACTTTTCCTAATGGCCGAATTGTGAAATTGCTGGGAAAAAACATTCCAGAGATTTGTTAATGTTCGTAAATTAACCTTCGTTAATGTTCCTATGCTCTATATTGAGAAAAAAATAAGTTTTTTTGATGAGTTCTTCTTCACTTGTATCAAGAAACTCATGACTGAAAAATTGACAAGAAGAAAATACCTTACACTAGGAAAGATAAAACTTTCATCAATTTTTTAATGTAAAAACCACTTGAGTTGGTTGGAGAATGTCACTTTCTTATTGTGAATAAGTTGCTCATTATATTTCGGACAAGTACAAAATCTCTTGACGAAATGTTTCTGACGGGTTATAGTCAAGTAATGACACTTGGTTTGGCACCATCTTAGAACTTTATTTAGTAATTATAATGAATGAACAACGCTTTTATTCTCAATGCATTCATTCTCAATTCCTGATTCATTTATTCCAAACGAGATTCGTTAACTATTAACGAATGGTCGAGTTGAATATGACCAAATGAATATTCGTTAATAGTTAACGAATATATATTTGAGGAGCCTTGTTTGAATTGACTTTCGCCATTCAAGTGAACCATTCGTTAACTATTAACGAATGAACATTTGGTGAGACCGAATAGACACTAACCTCCAACCAAAATCCATTCGTTAACAATAACTAATCCGTTCTATCAGTGCGCTACGAAAACTCGATAATACTGTATAATTCATATTTTTCCAGACGAACTGTTGAAAAACAATTAAACAGCAAGGAACAAATGTTCTCAAAACTGTGCTTCACGGATTGAGTGACAAAACAAATTAGAAGTATAGAGAATTTGTCGAATGTTCATTCTACGATATGAAAGATGATAATAATAATAATGGAGTCATACGTGATATCCAATTTTACATACATCAAATATACACATAGGTCATTTGTATCCTCAGAGAAATTGTTTTTGTTGGATGGTGAGAGTCGTCTGTCCCGTTCCGTATTACCGACTGGTTTAGTTCGGTACTGAGCATTGAGACGTGTAATACAAATAACAAATAACAGTGTCTGTTTTTTGTGATTAAAAGTGTTTAATAATTATTCGATCTTTCTACCTGTAATCCATCAGGTTATGGATACATCGCGCGTTCCACTGAGCGAAATTAATTCGTGAAATAGTGAAAATAGAGAACTAAAATAACAAAAGAAAACTGAAGCTTGGAGACACCACGTGGACCTTGACGAGAATCGAGTGAATTAAAACGAAATGAAGAGGAATGAAAATGGGGGTATCGGATGTGATCGTCATTTTAAAAGGAAAATATTGTAAGTATGAGGATCGCTGTGACACCGCGACGCCATGAGGCATCATGGCGGAGGAGAAAAGGGGAACGAGCATCTGAATAAAATAAATTGATCATGAAAAATAAAAATTACAATTTACTTAATCAAAAACCAAAGAAAAATTGTCAGAAAATTAGAGATGGAATTACTGAAATCATAATTCCAATAAATTCACGAATTGATTTGGAGACAAAATTTTTTGTGTAATGACAAAAATTGATGAAGCGTCATGAGAGTCAAGAAGACGTAGTGTGTATGCGTGCGTATCACGGAGGCTTGAACCTAGTGGAAATGCTGCAGCAATGGCATTATACTATCGGATGCCTTTGTACAGAACATCATTTTTACCAAAACTCATGACCGATGACGGCACAGCCACGTCATCAGCTTGTCTTGTTACTCTCATACCCTCTTTTACTTCTTTCACGCCCTTTTCTTATTCATTTGATGTATATAATTAATTACATTAAATTTCAATCTTTGCTCCACGCTCATGAAACCTAGCGTACTCGAAATATTTATGATTTTTGTACGTTTTCTACAGTGCAGAATGGTATACATCCCTCAATGGGCTGTGGAGAACCTAGGCATGATCTGTGAAGATTGTGCGTTTAAAGGCAATAACGAGAGAAGGAAAAAAACTGAAGACGTAATTGAGAGGGCACCACAGAGCAGTTCAAATGAGGGACAAGATATTGAAACGAGTGAAATAGTTGAAGAATACGTAATAAAAAATTATCGATCTGGAGATAAATCAGTTGGAATCAAGTGTCATTAGCTCATTTAAGATAATAAATAGACGAATAATAGCGAAATTGGCTGAAGGAGATTCTGAAGTAAAAAGACATCTCACTCGTAGCGTCACGGCTAAATCACAGGATAATTCAAAAGGCAATGGATCAGATTGACCTTCTGAGAAAAATGAGAAAGTTGAGGAAATGGCAGCAGATGTAGAAGGTAAAAGTAAGTCAGACGAGGAATCAAAAGAAAAAGAGATAATAAACAAAATAGTAGTTCGCTATGAATATTTAGCAAACTTTAACTATACAATTTCTGATCGAAAAATCTATAGACTTGGCAAATTGCAAAATGTAAAGTTATTTGGAGATGGGATAGTGTGTAGAACACACAAGCAATTCTACGTGGCATCATCTACCTGTCAAGCTGAATATGTAGCAATGAGTGAAGCGAGCCAAGAGATGTTGTCAATCTATAACTCATTGAAATTAATTCTGGTTAGTCCTCCGCTTCCTACGCTATTGAGGTGTGACAATCAATTAGCCACAGTTAGCTCAGAGACGAGCAGAGGGATTGAGACATATCACTGACATTCAGGCTCATTACATAAAATAGTGTGTCAAGTTAGGACTCACAGAAGTCAGATAGGTAGATGAAAAGATCAGATCACAGATGAGTTTGCTAAACCTCTGGCATTTGTTCCGTATAAAGATCTAAGTGATCGAATTACGAATAATAATATGCAAATACCAATGATCATTTTATGTTGAATTTAGGAACCAACTAATAAAATACGGTATAAGACGAGGAGACTGGTGACATAGCCAAAGAGATGAGATTTAATATTAATGTCATTGGAGAGGATCGAGTCCAGACGCGAGATGGTGAGAGTCTTCTATCCCGCTAGTCATTACCAACAGGTTTAGTTTGGTATAGCGCAGCGAGCTGTTACGCTCGTGCGCACGAACTCTCGTCCGTTATTCACTTGGATGCTAGACGCCACTGAGCATTGAGACGTGTATTACAAATAACGAATAAAACTGTCTTTCTTATGTGACTAAAAGTGTTTTATAATAATTCGATTTTTCTACCTGAAATCCATCGGTTTTATTGGTGCTGCCATCTTCACGATTCCTCTCTTGCAATCGTTCTTTTTTAGAGGATGATCGAATCAGGTGTCCACACCTTGGAGAAATTCAGGACGATACATTGTCCACAATCACGAATGAACCATAGTTGTATTTATAGATTTGATTTAAGAACTAAAATATACATGTTAGAGTTTTCCGTAATTTTCAAATCATTTTATCATTATTTTCGAATTCAAAACAGATAATTGTCGGAGACTGCGTGAAAGCTCTTGCTCACATGATTGAAGAGGGTCGCCAATTTGATTACGTCTTCGGGGATTTGACTGACATCCCTATCAGCACAACGCCCCACGGTGACGCATGGGATTTCATCAGATTAATATTGAATTCATCAATGAAAGTGCTGAAGCCATCAGGGAAATACATGACTCACGTAATGTTTTTTCTACCTATTAAGTGTAAAACTTAATTTTTCCCTTTTTTTTATAAAAAAAATATGTCACATAAAATATATAAATACTAAATCAATCTTCGAAATATCGTCCATCGATTTCGATGACCTTGCGCCATCGATCGGGCAACATACGAATGTCATTGCAAAAAAAACTTGCAGGCTTTGAGGTGATGAAATCATCGACGAAATTTCGTACATCTGGACATGCGATTTTACCGGCCGAATGACCTTCTAAATATTCACCTCCGCGAGCCGAAAATGGTGCCTCAAAGCCGAATTTGCAGTCAGGTGGCACGAAAACTTGAAATTTTAAGTAAGACACCGCACCTAATGAAAAAAAAGTGAAAAATTAAGTTATATACCTAATATTTTATCACAGCAATCCATTATAACGGTTTCTTCGTTAATCCAGCTGCCTATTTTTTTCAAAATCTCCAAAAAATTTGAAAAAAAATCTGTACTTTTATACTCATTAAAAGTACTCTCTGTGAATTTTTTCTGTTTTTTTCCAGCAGGCGCGGTGGAAATAAATGGATCCGGAAAAATTCCGACGAAAAATAGTTATCGGAGAAAATTCACCTCAGAGAAACAAAAATTGAGGCCACAACCCAGAAAACAATTTTTGCCAGTACCTTCTAAAACTTAACAGGACATGGGCAATTTGTCGACAAATTGTCGACATACTGTTTGCTGAGAAGTGGAGGTTTTTACTTGAAATTTTCCAATAAATTTTTTATTGTAGGAAAAAAGCGGGTTAGACGGTTGCAACTCTAAAATTTTCATTAAAATCCCATTTTTCGCATTTGGATGTTGTGGTTTTTCTGTAAAAAAAAAATTGAGGTGATGTGATAATCCCAATTGCAGGTTTATCAGCTATAATACCCCAAGACTTTCAAAATTATCGAATATTTTCCGAATGTTTTGTTGCATATCAACGAGGGATCAGTTTTGCAGATTAAAATCCCGAGTGCGCAGCGCGAGACTCTTGTTCTCTAGAAAAAGAGCTCTTGAAGAGAATACAGAGAATTTTGAAAAATCTGACAAACTTCACAGAGAGTACTTTTAATGACTATAAAAGTACTTTTTTTTTCAAATTTTTTGGAGTCCTTGAAAAAAAATGGGTGGCTATATTGACGAAGAATCTGAAGAATTTTACAGTAATAATAATAGAAAATAGTATCCATACAGTTTTTGACTAAATGTAATTAATCTGCAGGGGAATGGTGCATCCTGTCCGGAATCGTTGTCGATGTTTGAGGATGTGCTCGCTCAACTATCAGTACCCGTCGCATTCACCAAAGATCGTGCTTTTGTACCATCTTTTTTTGAAGTCTGGATCTTTTATCAAGTAATGCGCAAATGATTGATTATAAATAGCCAGAATGGTGGGCCAAGGAACGTAGTCACTTTAGCACAAATTCTTTTACCATTATTATGACCCGTAATGTGCCATAGATATAGAATATACACAATTGTGAAAGGACACACTTTATCCATTGTGCCACCAACCCATGGAGCTGCGTTAATAAGGGACGAAAGTATTACATCATTGACTACCAACGTATAACAATACATGTATTCTAAGGGTATTTGAAACAGTACGGCTTAATATTTCTATTACACTGATAGAATGATTCATTTATTCCAAACGAAATTCGTTAACTATTAACGAATGGTAGAGTTGAATATGACCAAATGAATATTCGTTAATAGTTAACGAATGGTTCACTTGAATGGCGAAAGTCAAGTCAAACAAGGCTCCTCAAATATCCATTCGTTAACTATTAACGAATGAACATTTGGTGGGACCGAATAGACCCTAACCTCCAACCAAAATCCATTCGTTAACAATAACTAATCCATTCTATCAGTGTAAGTAAGGAGGGACAGCAAAATTGTTCAAATAAAATTATCGGTTTTGGAGGGGAAAACTCAGTGCTAATTGAATTCAGGCCTCCATTGCTTTTGCGTTCATGCTACGTGCATAAAGTCAGTTGCCTCAAATGACAACAACATTTTTCATCTCTACGAAAATTATTCGTCTTGCTGAGGAGAATGCAACCGTACTGCTATTTTTGTCATCGTTTTCATGCGAATAATCGTACGAAAATTGAACGAATGGAAAATATCCTTATTCGGACCACCTTATACCCGGTCAAATCCTGGAATGTAATTTATTGGCTATCTCGTAAAGATGACTGAGGTGCATAAGGAACTTTGTCATAGTTACTTATTATTCTTCATTTTCCGTCGATAACAAACTATCTTTCATGTAGTTTATACAGTATCATTCACAGTAGTTTATTAAGCTAGTGAATGTGCAAACATTTTACTGCTATCAGGTGAGTGTCGAGGAGTGTACCGGATGTCAACACGATTATATGCACAGAACTTATGTATACCAATCGAACGACAACCGCTGCGGGTTTGCAAAGACGGATCAAACAGAAGTTCTTCGATCTGTTGTTCGAAAATTTCAATGCCACCTGAAGTTGCGCCTTGTTATTAACGGTGGTTACAGTATGTACAGTATGTGGAATAGGACCTGTAAGATAGTCCAAATAAAACAATTTTCCTTTCAATTGAGTTTTGTACGATTATTCATGTGAAAATGATGATAACGTCATAAATAGTATATTACAGGTCAAGCACCGTAAAAAGAATCGTCGACGAAATGAACTTTACCCGCGCGAGTCGAAGGCAAGCGACGATGAAGTTCATTTCGTCAGGGAGTTTTTTTTACGGTGCATGACTTGTGCGATATTTTTCATGCTTCTGTGTGACAACTTGACGCCCGCGAAAAATCTAACCTGCGAGGAAAAAGTGAATTTGGCGCGCAGAGGCATGCAAAATGTGGTATGGTTGAATTTTCCTCGGCAAGACGATCATCTTTTGTTGAAGTGGAAAATGTTGTTTCCATTCAAAAAAACTGGCTTTATGCTCGTAGCACAGAAAAATAAGCAATGGAAGCCTGGATTCGATCAGCATGTTGCGGACAATCATATCTTGAGTGAGAGCAAGAAAGAGAATATTTACCTGTCAACTCTTCCCTGACCGTCACCAGTCACGACTGTAAGCCACCGCGATGATGAGATAAACCGGGGGTTTAATTATCTTTGTAGTTAAAATAGGTTGGGATCATCAAGGAAGAGAGACCCCAAGTTACATCAATGAAACTCGTGAGTCATTTCTTATTGAATAAATAGTTTCTATTCATTCAATAAAAAATGACTCGACTCCACGTAGACCCGGGATGAAAACCGTCAGCGTAAAAATAGGAAGATAGAAACGTAGAAAAATAGGATAATAAAGGACATGGACACTTACACTTCGTTGATTCATTGATTTCGTTGAGTTTGGGAGAATTGCAAGGAATGCTCTGTGGTGGCGTTGAGGCTGTTCTTTCTGTTGGGTTCTGCGGAGGCGTCCTCAGAAGCTGATGGACCGTTAATTAATAGTTGATTCACTCAACTGGATGGAAGGCCGTAGAGGTGACCAATCTCGATGAACTGGTGAAATAGTGGATACTATCAGCTCTGGCTGGAAACTCCGGCAGTTGACTCGTTCTGATGAGGGGAATCACTACTTTATACTAAGAGGATGTAGACCTCTGGATTGCAACCGCAATTTGAAGATTCTGAACTTGAACTAGAGACTTTGGACTTTAAACTTAGAACTGAAGAAAATTGAAGACTGGAACTGAACTGCGAACTCCGAACTGACTTTTCTGTGTCCGGCCTCCGTTTTCGTAATGCGTGGAAATGAGTCACCAGTTATCGCTGGTTCTAAAACTCTCTCTCTTTATTCCTAGTGGCATTTGTGTGGCCAATTAGAATCCCCTTAATTATTGATTATTTTTAGGCACTGCGGGGATTGGTCACGGTGTCTTCTAATGTTTCTCTGATCTCACTGATTGATGATTAGGTGGCATCAAGTTTCCACGTTTCCATCCGGACTTGCGTCGTTTCTTCCAAATTTCGTGAAGGAAAGGGTGACGTGTTTCTTCCCTATTCGATTGTCGGACGGAGGCGAAAACCACGCGTCCATCCATGTACTGATCCCATCCTCAGATAAAAGCTCGTTTCATGATTCACTTTCCACCCTTCGGTGTTTTTTCGGTAAATAAAACGTGCACGGATATAGAATCTCTCCCGTATGTTTTTTAATTCTCCCTCGTAGATCACTCGCGAGGGCAACCTCAACCACGAGGATCAATAATAGAATTATCCGATGAACCAATTAACATACAGGATACATGATAAGCACTAAGTTCACCCCTCCAAATCCTAGAGCTTTTATTTGGATAATTTTGCGCTCCCTCCGTTTTTTACAAGAGATATTAAGCCCTACCACGTACGAACAAATTCTATTTAAAAAATTAGCGAATTCGAAATTCCAATAGAATTTTCTAGCGAATGCGCTAAGGTTTGTTATTTAATTTTTTCACATGTGACTGTTTCAAACGGCACTCCTTGTATAAATATATATTAAAATAATCATAAGCTCAGTGAAACTTTCATTGTATTTTTTTAGTCTGTTTTGTCAATTGCAGTGAACCATAAATTGGTATTATCGATAAATGACTTTTTATTAGTAGTAACTTTGGCAGCCGATTCACGGTGCATCTCCACAGTTTCACGATGCAACATAATTTTGATATGTTTGATCTCGAAAATGGAACTAACCTCATTTTCTATATATTTTAACATTGACTTTGAATCCGTTTTAGAAATATTTCCAGATCTCTAATTTTTTAGAAATAAAATTGTTGAAGTGTTGAGAACTGAGAAAAATACAATTTCAAGAAGTGAAACAAGTACATTTGCATAAAATTTTCGACAGAAAAAAACCATGATCTGAGAAGCCTTTGATTTTAATATTGTGCTGGTTTCACTCTGGCATCGATGAGTAAAAACGAGTAAAAAAAGCCGATGATGAAGTTGATCACAAGTTCTTCACATGTGCTAACATCAACTGAAGTCCAATTTGAATAAGAAAATGGCCTTCCTCCTATATCGCGTGTCAAAGTACGCGTAGTCAACTTCTAGTGATCAGAAATTTACGTACATATTAATTCTTTTTTTTATTCATGAAATTGCGTAGTTTGCGCAGTTTTCGATTCTTCAACATTTTTTGATGACATACTAGACGTGCTAGAAAGATTTTTCATGCCGATTTCAAATCCGCGTTAAATTATCTCTCAAAGATTGTCATTTCCATGTCTAAGAAATTTTGTTGCGTTGAAGGAGAGGCCGGCTGATGTCGGACACCGATAGCATCCAGTCTGCATGTTCGAAAAATTTGGACATAACATATATATAAGTTCCCAACACTTAGTTTTCGAAATGGCGCTTTAGCCGAGTGACACCGCGTCCGCCTACCAACACTGCGATCCTGGTTCCAAACTTTTCTCTGCTATATTTTTATTTTCATTTTTATTCTTTCATTTAATAGGAAATGTTCATTTCAGGAGAATTTGACAACTAAAAATATGATTGAAATATGATCTATTCAATTAAAAGTTATGATATAATTGAATACCGTAAAAGATATTCAGGTGAATTATTTTTTTTATTGGTCTTACATAGGTTCGGCTCCAGGCGTACATTTTTTTGGGTGATAATTATCACAGAAACATACAAAAAAAATTTATCTGACATCGACTGCAACAAACGAAATCAGTCTCGTTGCAAACACACGGGGTTTGCCGTTTTTCGAATGACACATACGTCGTTTACGTTTGAAAAAATGTGTGTTTTGTCAATCAATTTCGATGCAAACCACGCGTATTGAATCATTCTCGAAATATGGAAGTACATAATTGATGATGTATAAGCGAATGTATTTTGATCACATCTTCATGAGATGCGATTTCACGCTTATGGTTGATTACATAAGAACAATTTTGCGGTTTCTTTTATGAAGTTTGAAAAGTATATGTTATGAACTTATACATATGGTATGCGCAAATCTTTTAGACAAAATTTCTCCCTTACTTTTGGGCATCTGCTCCTAGGAATTTTGGTGGGGGCCACCACTAGTGACTCACTTCAAATATATGAAGACTGAATGCTGTCCGGTGTCCGGCATCAACCGATCTCTCCTTGTGAGTGTTCAGGAGGATGAATTTGAAATGACTTATTCTTAACTACAACAATGATTCCTTCCAAATCAGAAGTTTTGTCCAATGAATCGAAATTTTAGGTACAATCCATATGAAAAACTACCACTAAAACTCGACTGTGAAGAGCCTTTCGATTTTGAGTGAATGATAAATTATTATAATAATTGCACAACTAAATTTGTATTATTTTGACGTTCAATAACTTCTATTTATATGCTATGCAATAAGTTCCGAAATATTGGTCATGTATATTAATCCATGGATTGTATTCATTTTGAAAATTCTGCATGACATAAGATATTTTATTGAAATCCCTACCCATATTTTAGTGCCTGTTTATGGTTCAAGTTAATCATGATTAAACCGTGGTTAACGTTAAGACAAGACTGGGGTCTTATTTCACCAGTGGGAGTCACTAGTGGTGTCCCCCATTGAGTCTTAACAATTGGGGGTTTAATCCCTAGTTAACCTAACTTTAACCAAGGTTTAAGCGTGGCTATAAACCAACCACTCGCCCTTAGTGTTTCAGATGAATTATTTCAATTGAATTCAATTTATTTTTCTCGATGTTACAAACGTGTGTAGCGGCTGTCTCCGATGTTTCATCCTTCCACTGGTCCGGTTCCCTCTCAGGTAAGAATATAAAAGGCTGACGATGAGAACAAGGCTGTGCAAGCCTTAGCTCACTGAGGCTGAGTAACTCAGGACTGCTTCAGGGTTGGTTTCATCGTTGACTAAGGCCTGATTTGAGGGTTGTTCATGAGGCTATTGGCGAGGATGAATTCAGGCCTGGCTCGGGCTGAAAATGATTAGGCTGAAACTGCCAAGGCTCAACCAAGGCTCAAAAGTGAAAATCACTTCACACTATTGTTTTCTCATCCGTTAATAAATTTTCAAACTTCAGTTTCGAAAAGTCGCATTTTCTGTAAAACATGTCACCTTCCTCCCACGTGCTAGCCCTCTTGTCTCTCTTGCACGTGAAGAAGGATGATACGTTTTTCATAGCTAAGATTGATAAATCATACTATATTGATGAACGGAGAGAAATCTTTTCAATCAATAAACATTGCCGTGACCTCCCGATAAACCTACCGAACTAGGTCTATGTGAGGCTTGCGGCAGCCCTTGGCAAAAGAGGTTGGCGAATTTTTATTTAAAAAAATTAATTAATTATTTATAAATTAATTGTTCTATGAGAAAACAAAAAAATATTGTTAATTGTTGAAATAAGAAAACAAATGTAATGCACACCCAGTATCGCTGAGCATTTCCGAGCCTTGGATCAGGGCTTGATGAGCCTTGTTTCCATCAGTTCTTACCTGGGCTCTGCTTCTTCCTTCTTTCGCCGATCCAGTCACTCTTCTTGAATGTCAGTCCCTCTGAACTTTGTCTTGGGCCTTTACTACCCACTTCTCCTTATTCACTTCCATCAACTCCTCCGTACGTGTCTCCTCAGTTCTTCTATGGTCATCGCCAGGAAAAAAGGAACATTGGGTTTTAGCCGAAAGCAACTGCCCACCCCGGCATGGAATGAATCACTCTGCGCACGAAAAATTTGAGCGCAATCTTTAAATTATTTCCAGTTTTCATTGAAGTCTGATGCAAGGCATTCATTCATGACGGTGATTTCCAAAATTAACCAAACAGAACCCATTCCTCCATCCGTAACGAAAACTCCTGAGCGAAGGTCACCTTCGGCCTCTTCCGCTCCGACCTTCTCAAAATCCTCCAAAACCAAAACCAGAAAATGCTAGCTACTTTTGTGAAACACTGTCGTTGGGCGCCACCCGGGGTGGCTAGGAATTATGCCTAGCCACCTCGGGAGAAAATTCGGAGAGCGAGGTGGATTCGGTCGCTCGATCTTAGGAAAGGGGTCGCAAATATAACGAAACAACAAGAAATCCAGTCAGAAAGGAAATCGAATTAAAATTCCCTTAATCATCTAGAAAATCAGGAAATTAAAAAATAAAAAAGCTGTGATTGAATGGAAAAATATCTCGCATTTGTTATGTCAAGGGTGACTGAATTCCAAGGAAATGTAGGAATATTAAAATAAAAAAATGTCACCGACATAAACTGTACTTCGAAAGGAGTGAATTTGAATGAATATAATTGGATTTGAAATGATGACTCGATGGAATATAAAATGGAGAGACAAGGTTAATTGAAATAAATTGATTAAACTCAAAATTCAAGTTAACGTGACTTTCACAAGTCTATATTTAACAGAACAAAAGAAAAGGTTTCTGATATAAAGTGAAATGGTTCAAAAACTTACAACCAATGTAAAATGTAATCCAAATGCAAGTTGACTACACTAGTGCTGCACTGAAAAGATTTTTAAACAATTGAATTTAAATTACTTTCACAGAATAAAATTGAGACACGAAAGACAAGTGAAAAAAGTGAATTGAACACTTGAAGAAAAAATGAATAAGAAAAGGGTTCTAACTTGACCCTTGGTTTCATTATTGGAAAGAAACTGCATATTTAAAAGTGTCAACTGACACGAACAGGTTACAATGAACAACTGATTTGAAAACTACTCTGCAAGTAGTTTTACTTACGACTCCTGAGGATGTGCCCTTAGGATACATGGAGGGAAAATTCGGGGATCAATGGCATCTGACCCTGGCCCGGAATTTCCCACTTCAAAAACTCTGGTCCTAATGCTTCAGGGTTAAACTCCATCTCTTCCACATGAGGATGTTGGGGTGTAGGCGGACTTTTCTATCCCCAACCACCAATGAAATTATTTCGGGAAGTCCTAATTTTCCTTCCACATCCTCATTTAATTGAAATAATTATTTTCATACATTTCTTGAATTATTGAAGTGAAAATATAACGCAATTGAAAATCACAATTCAATGTAAGAATTGATCGCTCATTTGGAAAGCGAGTAGAAAATATTTGAGCATTAATATTAAAGACAATTGATTAATCAATGAATTTCGATATCAATGGAAATAATTCCTTAAGAATCGAATTGTAAGTATCCTCTCGCAATTAAACAATATCTTGACAGTCAAAAGTATCTCTTAATTTGAATTAAAAATTATCAGAATTTAATTGATTCAAATATTTTTAATTGAATAGCAATTTATTTAATTGTTTCAAAGTATGAAAATGTGAACTTCAGACACATTAAAAATATTCACAACACTTAGTTAATTACATGTAAATTACTTGGATTATTAGTCAATGCAATTCAATCAATATTATTCTGATAATTCGAAGTTCTCCGAATTGAGAACTATAAAATAATTTACTATTCAGTTCGCCATTTTTTAATTAGAAGCATTTTGTAAAAGAATTATTTAAAATTCAAAATATTATTTTGAAATAGTCTATCAGTAAAATTCTCAGAAGAGGGTACAGACGCAAGTGTCCCTCGACCGTTGAAATTTCCTGTTTATCTCCCTTATCCACCGGGTGGATGCATAGAGCGTAGGCGCATAGGAAAAAGTCCCATGTCCATAGGGAAATTTCGGTGGGTTTCGGAGGGTCTGTGATAGACCTTCGACCCTTAGTCGACGACATGTAGCCGCCTGCAACTCATAAAATCGACAAAATATAGCCAGAGACAAACACTTGAAGAGTGTTTCGCGGCTTATTATTTGAAACTTTATTGTCTCATTTCATGAATTTTCTCGGAAGTTTACTTTCAAATCTTGTACTCAAGATAATTTATTTTGTGCAGCTGCACTTTTGAACCGTGGAAAAAATGATCATTTGAGTCCGTGAGAAAAATATTGAAACAGGAGAAAACGTCTGTTTATCTGCAGTTGTTATTAAATAAACCGAAAATTGAAATGAAATGAAACCGATCGATTCTTTGAATCGACAGGTTCACAAGGGTCCTATGAGGCCTTCACAAGAACTTTCCATTCAATCTTCCCTCTCAAGAAGACCTCTATATGACGCCTCTTGTCCGACGTTTATTCTGACGCTTATGACCCTAATAATGACCCTTGTGACTCCTTGGATGCGATTCTCAATATTTTTTTCTCAAAAGTCGATTTGAATTTTCGTAATATAGAGAAATAGAGGAAATCTTATAGGAAATTTTATAGAAAACTCGATAGGAGATCCTATCCGAAAAGTTCGTTAGAAAATGTTCGAATTCTCCATAGAATTTCCTGTAGAATATCCTGTATGATTTTTTCATACGTACTGGTTCCGTAAAAGATTATAACATTCTAAAGCTTGTTTTGGGTGAAAAAATTTCGATCATTAAATCCCTTGATGAGGCCTTGGTTTAAAAAAAATTAAATCATTTCCAACAAATGTAATTAAAAACGGAGTCAATTGTCAGATCTCCCTAATAATCAAACTTTTTTTAGAACCCACTGTATGAGAAATTCTAATTTTCGAATGCTAGAATGACCTGTGATAGAGCAAGAACAGCTAAAAGCGTAGTACAAGCATACAAATCTCCGTCATTTCACACGCATATCTCTCATAATGAAGAATTTCAATTTCCTGTATTTGAATGATGCACAACACAAAGGACAAGCCACCAAAGATTTGGAGGCTGAATTTGCATACAAGATTTTGCGAAATGACACTTATATGTATCTAATTGTTTCCATGAATTAGTGATAATTCTCAGAATGCAGTAAATTGCAAAATCCTTCTGTTAAAGTTTTTTATTCCTTATGTTATGGCTGCCAGTTGAATAACGGATTTTTCTCAAAAAACTGCCCTTTTAAAATGAAAGAAAAAATGACGAATGAGTGAGACTTTTTAATACAAAAATTCAATGTATCTTGTAATTAATACCATAAGAGGAATTGAAAAAATCAGACTCCATATAGGTCTTCTATTCACATAGAAACTTTGGCCCCAGTTTGGATATAAGATGATAGAATTAAGTATCTGAAAGCTATAATAAATAATGTAAATACTAAATTACTGAACAATTCCCTTAATCCATATTTAATGAGCGTAACTTTTCAAGTTCTTAGTGAAAGTCCAAGTTCTCAAAATCTTGACTTTGATATTTTAGCGAACGGCTCGATTTCGTCGATCACTGGCTCTGTCTCTGTCTCCACAAGAATCTGCTGGAGCCACTGCTGAATCTGCTTTGGATGCTGATCTCGTTCGATATTGACACTGTTGTTTGGGATTTCTACAGATTTTTTCGGGTCCCTATCAAATGGAATTTCAGTGTGCTTTTCACCTTTATCAATGTCAGATGTTCCGAGAATGTTAGCTTCTTCTTTGCCTGAATTTGAGCTGACGTCAGAGTCTAGAATTGTTTCTTCAATAGTTTGCTGGTCACAAGGATGTGGAGAAGAATCAGTTAAATGCCAAATAATGTTCGAACTTTTTAGTTTTGAAATATCTTTGGAATTGGTAGTCATGTTAGACTGCGATGCTAACACAGGTGAACAGGTAGGAGAGAAATTATTATTCTCCATTTTCTCTTTTTTTTTTACCTTTTTTTCCACAATCGTAGCAGCGTCTAATCCCACATCGAAATCAGGAGAAACAGAGCGGGTCGGTGAATCAATATAATTCCAATAAGTAGAGAAATTCATTTCCCTGCATAAACTAACGATACTCTCACTACGATTTTCGAGCTTGATTGATTTGTCGAAGCTAACATGATCTTTGTTTGTTTCCTCGTACTCCTCAACTTTGTACGGTTCAACGTCTTTCACAACGAGCCCGTCCTTGTCCGGTAGTTCTAGTCTCCCAAGTTTCAGGATGGAGGATTCTAAATATTGCCAGTTGTCAAGATTTATATTAATGGATGGTACTGAGGGGAGGAGCTCCCAATTTGATTGAATTATGCATAATTGTTGATTGTGTATTACTTCAATTTGACGTAATAACTGTTTCTCGCGGATTTTAAGTGAATTTGACAGTTGATTAAAGCATTTGGACACTATGGAACGAATCTACGACATAAAATAAAGGAATTGGAGGTAAGTCATGAATCATTCACCGAAGTTATTTTTTTGAAATCTATTTAATTATTTTTAACTGTCTTACCTCTGCAGAATTTCTCTCCAACGTTTTCCTTTTATCTGTGATTGTCCTCACTCTTGCGGTATCGAGAATTCTCCTTGACTGTGTATTTTTTCCTTTCATATTTCCTGAGTGTAAGATAAAGAGATGTGATGATAATAAAGCCCTTTAAACAGCTGATTACTTGTAATGGTCATGAAGAATACACTGGGGGGTTAATCTCAACAAAAAGCCGTTTTTTCCATAGCTTTTTCGAAGCTGCGATTTTCTACCGCGAGGGGACGATACGATACTAAATGACACGAATTGATGACTTTGTGAACGCAATCAACTTTAGGGAAATTTAAACCAAAAAACAACCCTGATGATGGCGGATAATATAACAGGTGCAGTGTTAATTGATGAAGAAGCCGAGAACCATCAACGGGGCTTACATAGATTATTAAATGCGCGACGTCGAGCAATTCGACGTACCTCAAATTCACTGGAGGATTCGCCGGACTCGGTGTTCAATAAATACTACAGGTTTAATTGGTTCATAGGATTTATTTGTTGATTTTTATCAATGAAAATAATAACCCGGTTAGCAAGGATTCTATACGATGGGTGTGTGAAATTCCACTTTCGCTCCGACATTGAAAATCGAAGCCGAGATATTTACCAGCATCAATATCTACTCTTAGCAGTCGATAGGCAGTCAATTCTATTCACTAATTGATCGGTCAAGTATTTATCTCATTTGTAACACGTATTGAAGTGAATTATTAACACTTTACTCCAATATAAATTATAGCTGCTCCAAAATGCAAAATTACAGATGGAGGGGTAATTGCGGATAATGCGTTCGCATAGTCATCACTTCGTGTCACTTATCGTGTCGTCCCCTTGCAGCAGAAAATCGCAGCTTCGAAAAAGCGGTGAAAAGAGCAGCTTTTTGTTGAGAATAGCCCCCAGGGTTTCTTTTGCTGTGTGTGGCCGTACGGTGTCCTGCAGCAAAATTACTTGCCTCGATGATACTCTACCTATTGGCGGCAGCATATTGATGAATAAGGCGTTGTCGCTTGAGTTCTGGGCAGCTATTGTCGTCAGAGGTGTGGTCACCCTTGCAATTTATGCAATTAGGTTTCTGGTTGGATGAAGGACATGGGATAGTCCCATCGTGAGAGCTAGTTAAGCAGTGTAGGCAGGTTTTGCAACTTCTGCAGAATTTTTTAGTATGTCCAAATCGAAGACATTGGGACCGTTTCACTGGAGAAGCGTATGGGTGACCCTCAAAGCGTAGGTTATAAAGCATAACATCTCGAAAGGATTTGACCTTCAAATTTGAGGCGAATACTGAGAGGGAGAAGATATAGCTGCCTTATTGTTGGGAAGACGGATATAGCGTTGACATCGGAAAATCTCGAGGATATTAACACTGGCACAAATATACTCTTTAATTTCATCATCAAAGAACTCGAGGGGCACATTTTTCATGATGCCTTGACGAACAATGGAAAATTGAAGGATATAGGCTAGAATTTTGTATTTATTAAGGGTGATCTACAATCAAGTGAGCCGATTCTCGGGTGCTGAATGATACACGGACAGACTGATTTTTTTTGAACAGGTGGTTTCGAATTTTAGATTTGCTTCTTCAAAAAATTTTGTGATGATTTTTGCTAATCTTAGATCAGAGAGATCAACGGTATATGATTGGCTGTAATCAGCCTGGAATATAACGTTAAATTTTCTGTTAGTAGCATTAGGGGGGAAGCGATTTTTGAAGAAATCTGGTTGAATAGGGGGTGAGAGGCGTTTTTTTTTAGGAGAGGAATTGTCGAGTTTTTTCTTTGTTGAGGACAAAAGTGACAACTCTGAGGGTGATTGATGGTGAACTTGAGAAATGGGAGTAGATGAGGTGAAGGTGGATTTAGTCGACACATCGGCTTGTTTGGGAGCACGCTTCGGGTCAGAGTCTGGGTCTTCAGAAGTTTCGACATTATAATCATTGATACTTTTCCTTTTCTTGGTACCTTCTTCAGTCTCTATACTAATTTAGGATTGATCTCCACAAGGAATTTGATGAGGGAAAGGAGATGAGGGATAGAAGGATCTTTTGAATTTTGAGAATGATTATTCATGATAAGGAGATTTTTTAGGTAAGAGGTGGTCGAGATAACATTGATAATTAAAGTGAAAGCAGCAGTAGGATAAGATGGCGGCACCCCACACCAGTAAGGACGCCGATCACGGTATAAGATCCTTACGATTATTGTAATCCACCTCTTTTATCTCATTATTATCATAAATAGTTATCTATGTATGTATAATTCCAGCCGTGCATTTACAGAAATAAAAAACCTGAATCCATCCAAATATTTTTGAATTTCAATCAAAATTTTCCACTCATTCGACTCTTTCCTTAACGCGCTTGATAATTCTTCAATAAATAATGGAAAGTAAGCTTACGACCGTCGAATAATTTCTCGTTGTCAGCACAACAAGACTTTCCTGGGAATTGCACAATCACTATAATTGGAAAAAAATTTCGAGTTGTGACAACAATATTCTATGTACAATTACAGTAAGTGGAATTGTTGCAGTTATCAAAAAATTTTAATTGAAGCCTTTTTTTATTATACATTTGAAGTACTGAATACGAAATCTTTCTCTTGGTGTAAATTGATCCCTCAAGATGACCACAATAATTTTAGGGTCCTTCTAAAAAAATTTGCAAATTTCGACTTGAACCGTTTTTTGGTTGCGATACTGTACTCATACATTTATTCCTTAGTGTATTCGAAAGCTCTCATCATCCCTTGAAAATACTTAGCTCAATCGAATTCAAGGCATTTATTTTTATTTAAACATCAAATTGTCACTACATTATCAATCACTGATTGAGATGAACGAAATACCATTTGTCATGGTCGAAACTATTCGAATATCATCGATAAGAAAGGAGATATACCTGAAGTTAGTTTTCAATCAACATAGAAAAAGCCAATTTCTCTCAATTATCATCCTCAAATTTGGTAGATTTCCAAGCTTTTTGTTCGTATAATAGGACCATGAATAAAAATAAAACTTATCCGA